CGGGTGGAAAGGAAGAGTGTGCTGTCATAGTATGGGGAGAGCAATTAAAGTCACATAACAATGTATGTATAAATTTCTGTAAGGGAAAAAAGAAATGGGAACTAAAAAAAAAAAAAAACAAATTTCCATGGAAGATAGCTTCATTTCTTGGCTTTTCCAGTATGACTTAAATATACCAGGATGTCCTTGATGGCCATATTAATAATATTGCAACTGCCAGGATAAAGAGAAGTCTCAAAGTTCACAGGAAGTTCTCAGCTTAGAAATAATAATACTTTACATCTGTATGCTGCTATGTCCTTTTGAAAGTACTTTGAATTATATCATCTTCTTCGGAGCAACTCTGTGATGCTTTAGGGCCCGATAAATTTGAGCTCCACTACTTACAGGCAATAAAACCTTTGAATTGTCTCATCTGTAAATCTGGGCTAATACTACCCATTTTGGAGAGCTGATTACATGAGACGATGTATGAAGAGTGCTTAGTGTAGTGCCTGGTCCCTAGAAAAGTCTTAACAATTATCAGTCCCTTCATTCCAGCCTCTCTTCTCTCTCTTCTCCCATTACACATGTATTTCTTGACTTTTAAAGATAAAGAAACAGACATAATAAGTTTAACTAACTTGCTTAGGGGTTAGAAAACAAACACAAAGAGGTTTTCCTGTAATTGCTCCTAAAGTATTTTTCCTCTAACATATCTAAGCAAGCTAACACACGCGCACACACACACACACGAACACACACACACACAAACATAACTAGTATGGACTCTATGATTGTTAAAATTTCCAAGAAATGAGTGATCTCCACAAATCATGTTTCAAATGTTTCCCTGGGGAGCTTAAAATCAAGCCTTAGGGTGTAGAAAAATTATGGTTGATGAACTGATTAGCAGGTCACAACATTAAGACAAGATTCAAATGTAGATCATAAGAGGTTGTGAAATGACATGAAACCACCCATGCTATACAAAAAAAAAAAGTTGGCAAAATTTTAATTCTTGCACAAATAAAGTGCAGAATACAGCTAGTGCTTTGCCATTGATCTTTATTTGGGGTTGTAAAAAATATTGGACAGTTCTATTGGCTGGGGTCTCAGTGTTCTTTGTTTGAAATTCATTAAGATTAGACTAGATATTTTAAAGGTATCACCATTTTCTGACATGAGTAACCAATAAAGATTTTCTTTTTTGTAGGGTTGGATTGATAACATAAATGGACCTACTGGGTTTATTATTGCGGTATGTATACTGATGGAGAAATAACTCCCTGAAATGTAGTGGAGGAATAGTAACAAAATGCTTGGTGTTGGCTTGGCTTCAGAGATATTTGCAACAGTTGAAGCAACTTATCTCAATTTCGCTAATTGGAAATACAGGCAGGATGAAATTACCTTTACTATTTGTGGGTTTTCTTATCAAGAAAACAGAGGTACTGTGTTATCATCGATTACTGTTTAGGAATTTAATATTTTTGGAAAATTTTTGTGCATCAAGGACCATATGCATGTCTTTTCCTTTAGTTACCACAAGATGGGGCTATTTCCTCCTTTTCACCACTTATTAACAGTTTAGTGCAGCAAACTGGGGATACAATAAAAATCATATTCTCAAAGATTATTAAATTCTTGATTATAAAGTGCATACATGTATTTATATGTGTGGATGAAGAGATACAGATATTTAGATATAAAGCATCAATAACTAGTTCTTAACAGATATAATAAAAGAGAACTACCAATTGGAGTAAACTTTTCAAATATAAAAATTGACTAATATAGAAAACATTTTTTCAACAATAATTCTCTTGGAGACAGGGCAATCTTCAATCGTTCCTTTGGGTTAGCTGATCTTTGTATGGGTCTCCCTGCAGTGTGGTGCTGCACAGCTCACACTGAATCTTAGGACCAGAACCATAACGTTAGTCTTTAGGAAAATAAATAGGAATTCAATGACCTAAATGAGCTTAAATCCTATTAGGCATCTGATGCCTCAAACTCTTTCTCTGCAGTTCTCAGAACTAGGTCCAACATGAATTAAAATACAAATATAAGACAGTGAATGATGATTTGTCAAAGACAGTGACAATGAACTTCCTTTTGATTTTGGATTTTTCTAGCAGCTCCTCTCTGTTCCCTACCTGCCTCTAACTCTTTTCATCTTTAAGGCTTAGTTGGAGTGTTTCTTAGTCATCTAGTGCTGCTATAACAGAAATACCACAAGTGCATGGCTTTAACAAAGAGAAGATTTATTCTCTCACAGTCTAGTAGGCTACAAGCCCAAATTCAGGGTGTCAGCTCCTGGGGAAGGCTTTCTCTCTCTGTTGGCTCTGGAGGAAGGTCCTTGTCATCAATCTTCCCTTGGTCCGGGAGCATCTCAGCACAGGAACCTCAGGTCCAAAGGACGTGCTCTGCTCCCGGTGCTCTTGGTGGTATGAGGTCCCCTGTCTCTCTGCTTGCTTCTCTCTTTTATCTCTCAAAAGAGATTGGCTTAAGACACTATCCAATCTTGTAGATCTCATCAATATAACTGCCACTAATCCATCTCATTACATCATAGTGATAGGATTTACAACACACAGGGAAATCACATCAGATGACAAAATGATAGACAATCATACAATACTGGGAACCAATGGCCCAACCAAGTCGACACACATCCCTGCGGGACACAACCCAACCCATGACAGGGTGAAAGTTTGATGATGCAGAATATAATTATTTTAACATGATACCAGAATGGGTTTTATTACATTGTTTACAAAGCTGCATATTTATTCAAATTTTCTAAATTTTCCAAATGGGTTTCTTATGTTCAAAGGAAGGAAATTATTTACAAGAAACAGAAATTAGGAACATAAGAAAGTGTTAACCACTGCAACTAATGTTGGAAATATGCAGGGTATAAATAATAAACTTACTTCATAAAGTCAATAAATTATTAACATGAATAATTTCCATACCTTGCATCTATATAACATTGGTGATCTATGAAGTAACTAAGATACTGAATAAAAAGTAAATAATGGTGGCATTTTGCAAATTATAAAAGTTTTTGTTAAGTGGTAGAAATTTATAATTTTTCCAATAAATCTTTCTTAAACTTTTAGGGCCTACTATTGCTTGTTATTTTTTTTTTAATGATGAAACATTGTTGGAGTAGTGATGTTCACATTTCAAACATCAAAAAACATATCCATAAAATAAACTTCCAAAAGTCATTTACAGTCTTGCCTGCCGACCTTGGGATTCGTTGATCTGTGTAGCCTATGAGCAAGTGCTCTGCTTTCTGACCAGCTGATCTTGGGTTCGCCAGCCCCTAGGGTTACGTGAATCAGGAGAAGCCTCTATCCTGACCCACGAAATTGGTACATTCCAGTCTGTAAAACCACGTGGGCCATTTCCTTGATACTCTTTCTCTCTATATATATTTATATGCTTTGCTGGTTTTGCTTCTCTAGAGAACCCAGCCTAAGACAGATAGGTAGACTCAACATTGTGACAAATGTTGATTCTACCCAAATCAATCCACAAATACAATGCAATCCAGATCCAAATACCAATAGCATTCTTTAACAAGATGGAAAAATTAATCATTAACTTGATATGGAAAGGAAAAGGCCCCTGATAAGTAAAGCACTATTGATGAAAAAGAATAAAGTAGGAGGACATGCACTACCTGACCTCAGAACCTACTATACAACTACGTAGTTAAAACAGCCTGGTACTGGTACATCGACAGACATTGACTAATGTAAAAGAATCAACAATTCACATGTAAATCTATCCACCTACAGTAACCTGATCTTTGGCAAAGGCCCGAAGTCCATTAAATGGGGAAAACATAGTCTTTTTAACAAATGTTGCTGGCAAAGCTGGATGTCTATCTGTAAAAAAATGAAACAGGACCCGTACCTCACACCGTACACAAAAACTAATTCAAAATGGATCAAAGACCAAAATATAAAATCAAAAACTATAATGATCAGAGATGAAAATATAGGGTCAATGCTAGAGGTCCTAATACGAGGCATAAATAGGATACAAACCATAACTAACAATACACAAACACTAGAACATAAGCTAGATAAATGGGATCTTCTAAAAATTAAACACTTATGCTCATCAAAAGACTTCACCAAAAGAATAAAAAGAGAACCTACAGACTGGGAAAAAATTTGGAGGTATGACAAATCTGACAAAGGCCTAATCTGTAAACTCTACAGGAAAATCCAACACCTCTACAACAAAAAGACAAATAATACAATTAAAAATGGGCAAAGGATATGAACAGACACTTCACCAAAGAAGATATTCAGGTGGCTAACAGACACATGAGGAAATGCTAGTGATTAGAGAAATGCAATTCAAAACTACAATGAGATGTCATCTCACCCCAACATTACTGGCACCAATCAAAAAAACAGAAAATAACAAATGTTGAGAGGCTGCGGGGAGTTTAGAACTCTTATGCACTGCTGGTGGGAATGTAAAATGGTACAATCATTTTGGAAAATGATATGGCACTTGCTTAAAAAGCTAGAAATAGAAATACCATATGATCCAGCAATCCCACTCCTAGAAATACATTCTAGAGAAATAAGAGCCGTCACTCGAATAAATATATGCACATCCATGTTCACTGCAGCATTAGTCACAATAGCAAAAAGATGGAAACAACCTAGATGCCCATCAACAGATGAATGGATAAACAAATGATGGTACATACATACAATGGAATATTATGCAACAATAAAGAACAATGATGAATCTGCAACACATCTCACAACATGGATGAATTTGGAGGGCATTATGCTGAGTGAAATAAGTCAATCACAAAAAGACAAATACTGTATGAGACCACTATTATAAAAACTGATGAAAAGGTTTACATACAGAAAGAAACAATCTTTGATGCTTACGAGGGTGGGGAGAGAAAAGCATTAACTAGACAATAGGTAAGTGGTAACTTTGATGAAGTGTAAGACAGTACACAATACTGAGGAAGTCAGCACAACTTGACCAAGGCAAGGTCATGGAAGCTTCATAGACACACCCAAACTCCCTAAGGGATGAAATTACTGGGCTGAGGGCTAGAGACCATGGTCTCAAGGGACATCTAGATCAACTGGCATAACATAGTTTATAAAGAAAATGTTCGACATCCTACTTTGGTGAGTAGCATCTGGGGTCTTAAAAGCCTGTGAGCAGCCATCTAACATACTGCATTGGTCCCACCCCATCTAGAGCAAGGGAGAATGAAGAAAACCAAAGACACAAGGGAAAGATTAGTCCAAAGGATGAATGGACCACAACTACCACAACCTCCACCAGATTGAGTCCAGCATAACTAGATGGTGCCTGGCTACCAACACTGAGTGCTCTGACAGGGATCACAATAGAGGGTCCCGCACAAGCTGGAGAAAATTGTAGAACAAAATTCAAACTCACAAAAAAAGACCAGACTTACTGGTCTGACAGAGACTGCAGAAACCCTGAGAGTATGGCCCTTGCACATCCTCTTAACTCAGTACTGAAGTCACTCCTGAGGTTCACCCTTCAGCCAAAGATTAGACAGGCCCATAAAACAAAATGAGACTAAATGGGCACACGAGCCCAGGGTCAAGGACTAGAAGGCAGGAAGGGACAGGAAAGCTAGTAACGGGGAACTCAAGGTCGAGAAATGGAGAGTATTGATGTGTTGTGGGGTTGGCAACCAATGTCTCAAAACAATATATGTATTAATTGTTTAATGAGAAACTAACTTTCTCTATAAACCTTCATCTAAAGTACAATAAAAAAATAAAAACAAAATATATTAAAAAAGAATATTTAAGATGTAAAAACCTATCCTTGGTGTGCATTAATTAACTAAAGACACTAATTTGACACAAATGTGTGGAATTTCACTTCCTAAAGGAACTGAGAAAAGTTAGTGGTTCATGGAAATGTTGGCATGCAAGATGAACTTCGCAGGGAGTTTGGCTAGGTTGAGGGCAGGCAGACTTATCTCAATGAGCCAGTAAGCAGTGAATCAATGTTAGCATCTATTACTGACAACATTAATAACACATATATATGTCAGCCCCAGCTGTTACTTAAGACCTGGTGTAATATGTTATATTCTTTTTTCTGTACAGGCTGGGAAAGGCTTCCTTCGGTCCATAAGAGGTACCCCCATGGCTGTAGCCGATGTAGTTCCTGTTGACACCGTCATCAATCTCATCTTGGCAGTAGGATGGTACACTGCAGTTCACAGGTGGGATGCTTAGACTTCCTTTCAAGGACTTGATGATGACAAGGGTGTAGGCGTTTTATCCTAGAAGACTCCAAGTGTGAGACGGTGTCTGTTTCAATATTTTATATGTATAGAGTTGTTTTATAAATACTGCATAGAATGTGGTTGATCATAAACTAATAAACCCTTTTAATAATTTAACCATAAAATCCTTGAGTAACCAGAAAGTGTTTCTTTCTATTCAGCAATCTAAAATACTGCTTCCTTTTTTTTTAAGGCAAAAGAAATAAAAGTGAATGAAATGAGAGTATTTTTAATATTTTACTGGACTGTTCAGTTCCTGCTAAATTCAAAATTTCAGATCACCATGTGTGGGGAAATTTCTAGTGCAAAGGAAAAAAGGTTGCTTGTGCATTTGGCTCTGTTAGTAAATGTAAACAGAATTAAATTTTCCTTATGTGAAGTCAGACATTTAAATCTTTTCCAATTCAGCAGGGTTTAACAGCACTTAGGATAAAATATTGCCATTTGTCCAGTAAAAATATCCAGAAGCCAGAAATATGATCTGCTTTCTCATCTACATGGTACCTCCATTTGCTCCAAAAATGTCACACCTCTTTGACATCTCTCTGATACACACACACACACTTACACACTTTTCCTTGTCTTCTTTCATTTTGCTTATTAATCCAAAGGTTGGAAGTATTGCATAGGTTGCCTTAGTCATGGGAAATATTGAAACTATCCTGTCTAATCATTACTTTCCCTTATCATTAGTTTTCCATTTTGTTGTATTTATCTAATTTTTATTTCATTTTCCAGACCTAAATCTACATTAATCTATCACTGCACATCTGGTAACATGAATCCCTGTAATTGGGGCAAAATAGGTAAGTGCCTTTAACTATGTCACTACATAACTACTAGTGTACCCATAAAAAACAAACAAAAACACCCAAACCCACTGCTGTCTAGATGATTCTGACTCATAGCAACCCTATAGGACAGAGCAGAACTGCCCTATAGGGTTTCCAAGGAGTGGATGGTGGATCTGAACTACCAACCTTTTGGTTAGCAGCCAAGCTCTTAACCATTGTGCCACCAGGGCATAGAAAGGAACAAATAGACAAAATCTACCATGGATCTTAGAGTCTAGCAGGGAAGAAAGACAAAAAATAAGTCAAATAAGTAAAGAGACAAAATAATTGCAAACTGTGCATGTGTAATAATTAACTAGAATGTACTGTGGTGTACCAAAGAAAGGGGTCATTGAGAATAGTCCTCATGAATGTAGGCAATAAAGGGTCCACTGGCCATAGAGATTTAAAAAAATAATAATAAAACCAAGTAAAAGTCAGCAATGTTAAGCAATGTCAGTGATCAAATACTTCTCCCTGCTGGGTCAACTGCCCTTTCAACACATCCCTACCTCTTGGTATACCACTGAGAATGTGAAATGATCAAGTAAATTTACAAAAGTCAAATAATAATACACTTCTGTTATTGAGTCAGAGATAGTCTGCATTAATTTATGCAGCTAGCGATAAGTGCACTCTTGAAAGTATCTTGTTGAATTAAAGTAATTAATCTTTCACATAATAGAAAAATTAGCTAGTCAATCTTGTCCTCTTTGTCAAATTAGGAGTTGATTTTTTTTGTGAAAAATTGAAACTTTTAAATCATCAATCTGTTGTTTGGGTATTAGTAAAAAAAAATCAAATGTACTTAATATGTTAGAAGCTTATTTCCAATTTACAGTATTCTACTGAACCATTTTTTTATAGTTATTACTTTAGTATAAATAAAATGGAATTATCTACTGCCATCAAAGTTCTTTGTTATATATCTAGTTATTTAAATCATAGATTATAAACAATTCTGAAAACATTTGGAAATAAAAACAAATCTCCTCTACCTCAGTAACAGAATTAAGATATCTAAGATACCACCCATAAAAACAACATTGATACAAATATCTTAAGCTCTTAAATACAAAGTTGCTACATGTAAATCCCATTCTTTGAGGTTAAAAATAATCTTCTTCCATCCTCAAAATTCTTAGTATCTGTTTTGTGGAATTATAGAATGTCATAGTTGAAAGTCATCTTAAAAATAATCTACCAATGTTACTGAATTGCAGAAATTTTTGAAATGGTGTATCTTTGGCTATGTATATTTTCACCAAAAAAAAAGGTCCTCCAAGATCAAGAAGGGAGACTGTTGACATGTTATGGGGTTGTTAACCAATGTCATAAAATAATATGTGTACGGACTGTTTAATGAGAAACTGTTCTGTAAACCTTCGCCTAAAGTACAATAAAAAAAATTTAAAAAAAATAATCTAGTGTGTCTCACTTTATTTTACATATGAGACCAGAGAGGGTAAATGATCTACTGAAATTCAAAAAGGAAGCTGGTACTTGAAATAGAAGTAGAAACCAGGTCTCTTGCCTCTTTTGTGTGTGCAAATAACCACTCCACTAGTGTTTCTTAAAAGTGAATATGAATCATTCTGAGAGCACAAACATCCAGCTTTCTAGGACCAAAATGTTAGATGATGCTGAGGAAGCTGAATTTTTAATAAGCATCCAGATACCTCTTAATGCTGGAGGAACCCATTTTGAGAAATCCTGCACTGGACAAACTTTCTACTGATTTGTCTACATGAAAGGGATTGGATCTTTCAATGCACAAAATCCATGGAAATGAATTTGAATACAATTTAAACATACAATGATGGTGGAGGATAGGAGTAAGTAGTTCTACTATCCTGCAGGATTCCACAGTACCTACTACCATATCCTTCCTCTCCCTGTAGCAAATGCACAGGTAACACTATTTCTGCACCTCCCAATGGCAAGACATGGTACCAAACTAGGAATACGACTGCAGGCAGCTAGCTAGTGTTGCTCTTTCCATGATAGGCTTGGACTCGAAGACTTCCAGGCATACACACTTCCTGTATTCCCCCCAAACCCACAGCAGATAAGACTCTGCACTAAGTCTCTGTACTAGAATCCTTTTTAACACAGGATTTCTGGAAGCTATTACTAATTAACTTGATTTTCCATGCAAGCTGAAACCCATTTCTGCTTCCTATCAGAGATATAAGGAGTGATCAAAATGCTTCCTATTAAGACCACTCTACTATGTTATAACAGGTTGAACATCTATAGCCTCAGGTAACATTACTGAGCTGGGTGAGTGAACATGGGATATCTCTCAATTTAGCTAAGTCATCATTAATGTCCTTCAAGAAAAATTTGCAATCTGCATAGAGGTCTTACACATCTTTATAATCAGATTTGACCTAGGTAATTTATAATTTGCTAATTTAAATGGTCTCTTTTTTAAAAGTATGTTTTCTAATTGCTAGTGGCTGGTGTACAGAAAGGCAGTTGACTTTTGTATATTGGCCTTATATCCAACCATCTTGCTAAACTATTAGTGTTAGTAATTATATAGGTTTTCCTTTGGGTTTTCTATGTAGACAATTATATAATCTGCAAATAATACCACTGTCAGCTCCACCTTTCCAAACCTTATTGCACTGTCTTATTGCACTGGAAAGAATTTCTAATACAATGTTGAACAGAAATAGCAATAGTGGATGTCATTGTTTTGTTCCTAATTTTAAACAGAAGGCTTTAAATGTCTCCCTGTTTTCAAATATTAAACTATCCTGCCATTCATAGGATACCCAACTTGGTCATAGCAAGTTATCTTTTTTATACTCTGTTGGATTAGTTTGCTTAATAATTTGCTTAGGATTTTCGCAGCTATTCTTGAGTGAGATAAGATTCTACCATTTAATTTTCACATAGTCTTTGTCTAATTTTGACCTTGGTATGTCAGCCTCATGTTCCCTTTTATTATTTTTTTTAATTCTCTAAAAGAGTTTGTGTAAAATTAGAGTGATCTATTCCTTGAAAGTTTGGTAAAACTACCTGTAAATTATCTGGATTTGTGGCTTTTTGTGGGAAGATTTTTAATGCTTCATGTTCTTCAATAGTTATAGGATTATGCAGGCTTTTAATTTCTGCTTGAATTAATCTTAGTAAGTTATGTCTATTTTTCTGTCTCAAATATATTCACATGAAGTTGCTATTACCTTCTTTTCTTTTTTTCCTAAGCTGTATCTGTAGTTATATTTCATTCATAATAGTGATTGTGTCTTCCATTTTTTCTCAATTAGTCTTCCCAGGGATTTATTAATTTTATTATTTTTTTCAAAGAACCAACTTCTGGCTTTATTGATTCTTTATTCTGCTTCTTTCCTTTCTATTACATTGATTTCTGGTCTTATTTCTATTATCTCCTCCCCTATTTTCTTTGAATTTTCCTTGATATTTTTTTCTGCTCTGCAACTTAGCAATATAGCTCATGAATATTAAGCCTTCCTTTTCTAACATATTTAAGATTTTAAATGTCCCTCAAATGCCACTTTTGTTGTATCCCAGATTTTTGCTATATAATGTTTCTATTATCATTCATTTCTAATTATTTTAAATTTTTTACTATAATTTGTTTTTTGACCACGAGTATGTAGAAGTGTAGCTTTTTACTTCCAAATATATGAGTTTAAATTTTATTTCATCTAGTTATTTATTTATGCTAATATCAACTAGCTTAATTGCTTTGTGGGCAGAGAATGCAATACGTATGACACTCTTTGAAGTTTATTGAGATTTGCTTTATGACTTAATACATGATAAATTTTTGTGAATTTTCCACACGTGCATGAGATCCTACTTATCTTTCGGGTCAGAGCCATAGAAAAGACAGTAGCTTAATGGCCAAGAGTTTGTGCTCTGAAGTCAGACAGACCTGGGTTCAAATCATAGCTCATTCATTTATTCATTGATTTCATTCCTGTGCTTATTGAACAGGCACTATTCTTGGTACTGGGAACACAACACTGAACAGAAATCTGAGGTTACATTCTAATATAGGTCCCACTATTTACTAGGTTCCACTACTTACTAGTTTAATGAACTTAGGAAAATCACTTCGTTTCTCCCCTTAGATCAATTTCGTTACCTGTCCAATAGGAATAATAATCATTCTACTTCAGAGAACTCTTGGAAGGATTTAATGAGATAAAGTGCTTAGCACAGTGACTAGAACACTAAATATTTTAATAAATGTTAGCTATTGGTACTTGGTGGTTAAGAGCTATGGCTGCTAACCAAAAGGCTGGCAGTTTAAATCCACCAGCTGCTCCTTGGAACCCTGCAGGGCAGTTCTACTCTGTCTTATAGGGTCGCTTTGAGTCATCATTGACTCGATGACAACTTTTTTTTTTTTTTTTTTTTATTGCTACTTACACAGGTTTCTCAGGAAGCCTACTCTAACCCGCCTCGGCACCCAGACAGAGTTAGATGCTTCTTAAATCTTCCTCCAGATCATATGGTACTGACCTCTAGCATAATACTTAGGCACTATATTTTAATTCCTGTTTGTCTACATCCCTTACCAAATTGCCAATTCCTCAAAGACAGGAAATATATTTTATGTACATTCTACCATAGTACCTAGAACAGTGCCTGGCAAGTATTAAGTGCTAAATAATGTTTTTAGAATCACTAGTGTCAGGGTAGATTCAGGAAATGAAAAGTAATTGTATATTTCTAAGACATTCATTTATTCAAAAAATAGTTATTGGGCACTGATGATCTGCCAACCACTGTTCAAGATACTGTATAGGCATGAACAAAACAAACAAAATTCTGGTTTTGTGGTGCTCACATTCTAACAGGAGGAAATAAATACATATCAGATGTGGTTACATGCTTGAGAAAAATAAAGCAGACTAAAGAGGTAGAGAGAAAAGTGGGAAGGTTGCTGTTTTATATGTGCTAGTCAAGGAAGGCCTCTCTGATAAGGTGATAGCAAAGACCTGAAAGAAGTGAGGGGGCAAATCAAAGGGATATCTGGAGGAAGAGTGTTCCAAGTTGAAGGAACAATAAGTACTAAGGCCCTAGGATGGGAATGTGTTTATTGATATTTTAGGACATCAAGGAGGCCAGGAGGGCTGCAGCAGAGGCAATGAAAGAGGGGATGGTAGGAAATAAAGACAGCGATGGGCAGAGAGAGTGCGGATGCAGATAATATAAAGCCATCCAGTCGATTCTGACTCATGGCAACCCCAGGTGTGTCAGAGTAGAACTGTGCTCCATAGGGTTTTCAATGACTGATTTTTCTAAAGTAGATCACCAGGACTTTCTTCCAACGTGCCTCTGAGTAGACTCAAACCTCTAACTTTTTGGTTAGCAGCCAAGCACATTAACCGTTTGCATTATCCAGGGACTCCAATGCAAGGCCTTATAGACTATGTTAAGTTTGGCTTTCCCTCTAAATGAGATGAGATTCCATTGGAGGGTTCTGAACAGAGGAATAACGTATTTTGAGTTACATTTTAAAAAAATCACTCTAGCTGCTTTATGGAGATCAGACTGTAATGGGGCAAGCATAGTGGCAGAGACTACTTAGGATAGTTTTGCGATATCCCAAGCTATGGTGATGGTCTGAATCAGAGAGACAGCAGTAGAAATGGTGCTTCTGGATGTTTATCAGACAGAGCTGATAGACTTTGCTGTATGATTGTATGTGAGGTGTTAAGCTGGAGAAGAATCAAGGATGACTCCAAATTTTTGGCTGAACAACTAAACAAATTGAATTATCATTTACTTAGGAGTGGAAGATTGGTGGAGAAGTAGGTTTTTATGTATGTACTTAGAAAAGGGGTGGTTGGTAGTGGGCGTACCAAGAGTTTAGTTTTAAACCTGTTAAATTTGAATACCTATTACACATCCAAGAGGAAATGTTGATTAGGCATATGGATATATAGACCAGAAGTTCAGTGTTAATTTCTGAATACTCTTATACTATAAATTGTGCATAACTTTTTCATTTGTTTTCCGTTTTTCAAATAAATATGCCTACAGGCCAGATATTTCTTGAGAATTTTTTGTGTACAGGGTATATATTTTTAATACAAATTTCTAGGTAATATCTTTTTAGGAGGACAATAATCATATCACCATCATAACTGTTATCTTCATAACTGAATAATGAGCTTAGGAATATTCTTTGAAAAATCTGCAGAAATAAAATCAAAATTGAATTTAAATGAATAACCTTTGAAAAGAACTACTGAATTTACAAATGTACATTAAAAATTTTCAACTAAGTTTTAACTAAGTAATAATATAAAAAGTAAAAAGTACAAAATAAAAACATGGAGACCAGATTGGAAAACTAAGTTTGATATATTCCCAGAGAAGTAGAAAAACCAAAGAAGCAAAAGACTGTGGTATTTAAATTGAACCAACACAAGGGAATCATGCCTTTATACTCTTTTACTTAATTAAGCCTTTAATAAAGGTTTAAGTAAAACGTTAAGAAATTTTCCTGATGGTTCTGCAAGTAATGATCCAACCAAGGAAAGAAGGCCTTAGGCTCTGTCTTAGGGCTTTCAGAATAGATTAGATAACCTTAGACTTGAATGATGGATTTAAGTTTGTCTGAACAGTGCTTCACTGCATTGAGTAAAACTACTTCCCCAAGGTTTTGTTTTAGATTAAAGGGTGTCATTCACATTCCTTACCCATTCACAAAATCAAATGTACGATTTTGCCAACGATCACTTGCCCTGCATAACAATCTTCATACTGTTCTTAGAAATTGACTGACTCTACACAGCAAATCCTTAGTCTTGATTATTTCACTTTATTGCCAGTGCCTTCCACCCTGATAGGTTTATATGCTCCTAGACTTAGCACTTTCTCTGTTTCTTTCCTAGGATTACAAGTCTTAGCAACCTTCAAAAAAATTCCATTTGAAAGACCCTTCAGGAGGCCAAACGTTGAGATCACAAACAACAGTTTCACAATCAAATACTGTAATGCAGTCAGCCACTGGGCCCCGGCCATCATCTATGACTTCTATCTGGGGCTCACAGGAAGGAAACCCAGGTAAGAAGCTGAGTCAATGGCTTTGAGAGCGTCACTGCATGGGAGATTAGGGCCCCAGAGTCCTTAGTCCTCTCTTCAGCTGGGGATCAAAGGAGACAACTGAATTTGACATACAAAGTTTTGGGATAACTAAAATAGTAGTAGTGAGAGCCACAAAGGACTCCTACCTTGCCATAATAAAGGGAGTTAAATATTACGAAATTTGATGAATTCAGCAAGTGATGATCTACTCAAGAAGACCAGCAATCGAGGCTCTGCCACTGGAGTAACACACATGGGGCTAGGAGTTGACCTGCATGATGATCTCATTTTCGTTCTCACAACAACCCAGGGAGGATATTATTATCATCCCGATTTTACACAGGAGGAAACAGACTAAGGGAAGAAGTTAAAGTAGTCTCAAAGGAAGTGACAGAAGGATCTGGAAAAAGCTGAGTCTCAAGGCTATAGTGTTCTTAACTGGTTTTACTGTCAGCTAGAGATTAGTGAAGAAATAAGAGGGTACAAGGTATACTGGAAAGTGTGCTGATGAGGCAGCTCTGTGACACAGACATATCCTTTGATCTCTGCGTCACCTGAATAAAATTATGCTTGTCTGAGGAATCATCATTTAATTTCCGTGATCAAGAATCAGAAATATGAATAGTGTTGCCTTTTTTGATAGCCCCTTTATAATGGAGGAAGTCTTTCTTAGCATGTTTAGTTTCCATCCTTATTAAAAAACAAAAATCCATTGCCGACGACTCAATTCCAACTCATAGCGACCCTACAGAACAGAGCAGAACTGCCCCATAGGCTTTCCAAGGAGCGGCTGGTGGATTCGAAATGCTGACCTTTTGGTTGGCAGCTGTAGGTCTTAACCACTTCGCCACCAAGGCTTCAACTCCATCCTTATTAGCAGAGCAAATTACCAAAACTTAGGCAATATATATTTTAGCCAGATTTTTAGAGACCTTATTTACAGTTGGTAACTCGGTAATTGTCAGTTTCTTCCTGAGCAAGGTGAAAAGGGCACACTGGCTAAGAGGAAAACATTTCTATGGGGTTTATGAAATAACATGGAAAAAGAAGAAAAACCAAACATTGTAGGCAGATATGCCTTTAAAATATATCAGAGTTGGAAGAAGGCCTGACTAGAGAACAAAGTTTCAGAAGCAGAAAAGTAAAAAGAGGAGGAAGGAACAGAATAAAAATCTGTATGCATTTTGTTTTTGAGAAATTAAATTGTAATGTTTGTGGGAAATGAGTTGCTTTGTTTTGTGACAGGATTTTTTAAAAATAATCTTTATGGGAGAAAAAGCTAAAACCTTTCTAGACCATTTGCCTCCCCAGGTGTGTTTGTGTGTAATCTTCTCTGCATTTATATCCAGATATGTATGCAGAGTATAGTTTTGCTTCGAAGTGTGTTGTGTGTGTGTATGAAATCATATTCTTCAACTTTTTTCACCAAAAATGTTCAATGAAAATTTGTCATTTTTCCAATTTTTTTTTCCTTTTCTTTTCTCTATTACAATGGGGCGATGAGTTATCAGTGCACGTGCATCTTTTTATAATGTGCCACTATGTCTAGGTATAGGATGCTGAAGGGTGGCATTGTTGAAGGGTATGTGGATGTAGTGACTACTGATGGGTTGCCCTAAAGGATGGCTCTGTCAACATTATATGAGAGTACAAATCTGTTTTCCCTAACTCTCAGCAATACTTTGCAAAAAGCAAACTTGAATTGTCAAACCAATGATAAGGAGTGGCATCTTTTTGCTATTTTGATTTGCATTCTCGATTGCTGGAGAGGCTGGGCTTCCGTCTGTGTATAAGACATTCAGGTTTTCTCCTCTGTGAGTTGCCTCTTTCTGTTTCTTGCCTTTTTCTATTAGATTGTTCTTGTCAATTTATGGGAACTCATATGCGTGTGTGTAAACATACATTTCACATATTTTCTCCAAGTCTGTTTCTTATATTTTAGCTTTGATTATGAAGCTTTTTGTAATACAAGACAAGACATATATGTGTATACAATGTAGAGCTTGAGAGTATGGACTTTGGAGCCACACTTAGAGGATTTAAACCCTGGATTCACCAATTTAGCCATGTTGTCATTGTGTACTGTCGGGTTGATGCTGACTCATAGCAACCCTACAGGACACAGCAGAACTGCCCCATAGGGTTTCTTAGTTGGAAATCTGTATGGAAGCAGATCGCCAAGTCTTTTCTCCAGTGGAGCAGCTAGTGGGTTCGGACCACCAACTTTTCGGTTAGCAGACGAGTGCTTAACCATAGAGCAACCAGGGCTTCTTAATTTAGACATATGAGCCCTAAATTACTTAACCTCTCTAAATCCTAACCGATTTAATTCCCAACTTCCTCATCTGTAGAAAGGGAATAGTAATCATACCTACTTTAACGGGTATTACATAACAGTGCTTAGAACAGAGCAATCACTGAAATGCTAGCTATTAGTTCTAAAGAATGTGGTAAAATGAATCACTCCTTTTCATTATAGCCTTTGTATTTTATTTATTATAAAGACCTTCTCTACATGAGAGTAATAAATATATTCTGTATTTTCTCCTAAAAAAAATACCATTATGCTCCTATAATATTGTATATACAATGGGCAAATACCTTTAAAAATAAAAAATAGATAAATCTATGTGAGATCACATCCATTGCATCAGACTTGTGGAATGGATAAAGATGTAGGATAATATTTGCTAAGTGAAACACTGTCATAATGCTAGTATCAGGGAACAATGATATCTACCTCCTCCTCCCTAAGAAATTTTCTGTGACATAATGAGAAAGGAACCTCATATGTCATTAGGTAATGGGCATCAGGATTTGACCAGAATTAAGACCAAATCCCCAGAATAGACTAGCACTGTAGTCATTACTGGGTCGGACTACATAATCACTGCTACCATGACTGGCTTAACTGGCTAAAAGATAAAAATCAAATATCCTATAGGCCAAAGGAAGGAGCCCGGGTAGCACAAAGGTTAAGCACTCAGCTGCTAACCAAAAGGTTAGCAGTTCGAACCCACCCAATGGCTCCAAGGGAGAAAAGATCTAGCAATCTGCTCCCATAAAGATTACACCCTAGAAAACTCCATGAGAAGTTCTACTCTGTCACATGGGGTCACTATGAGTTGGAATCAACTCGATGGCACCTAACAACACAGGCCAAAGGAGACTTCTGGTTAGAAGACTTGGGTTTGTTTGAGTACTGGCTATGTGGCCTTGAGCCTATTGCTTAATGGAGATAAATTATGTAAATTCTGATTACCACACAAATCAAATAAGACTGCATATGTAAAATTTTTTTTTGATGAATTGTTGTCAAGTTGGGAGGCTCACAGTAGAGCTGAACCAAGCTCTGACCATGGCATTGAATGAGGTAGTCCATTTTAAGTAGTGGGGCATAGTGTGGTAAGATCACAAAAGCAGTGGCCTGAGGCCAGTCAAAACTGGGTTGGAATTTTTATTTTGCCACTTATTATGTGATCTAAGACACTTAATCTATAGTAAGCTCACTTTACCCATTCATAAAAATGCAGATAAATACCTACCTAAAAGAATTGTTATGAGAATTAGCAGAGATAATATTTTAAAGTATCAGCACTGTGTCTAACACAGAGTACATTGTCAACAAATAAGTTCTTTTCCCCTTAAATCTGCATTACAATTGAAGACTGCCTTTAGTTCATAACACCTAATAGAGTCAACACTTCTCCCAGAAGTTATATACTAAGATCTGGGATCCTATCAATTTTTTAAAAATCTGGTAATATATAATGAGGGAGAAAAATAAGCTATTTCTCTACCCCTGAATTCAAAGAATGTCATTAAGGGTGGATAGTTGACTCAGTTTTAAAATAGCTTTGTTACTCTTTGAGAGAGATGATAATGAAAGAAAGAAGAGGAAGGGTGGTACTAAATGCCAGAGACAACAAGCTCCTTTACATTTATCCCTTTTCCTTCATTCAACACAGTTAGTGTGGAAGAAAAATAATGAGAGTTTTAATGGGGGGCTAGGGGAAGGGGACAAGGGTAATTTTTATATATTCTAAAAATAATTCGTCATAAAACCCTATAGAGTTAACAGGAAAGCAGGCAGATGTGGTGCTGCTGAGATTTGTTCCTATCTGATCTTTACCTCAGGATGACAAAGCTCATGAATCGGCTTTTAAGAACCAATTCCAGGATGGAGTATTTCCTTAACCGGAGTTGGGAATGGAGCACATACAATACAGAAATGCTGATGTTCGCACTTAGTCCTGAAGATCAGAAAGTAAGTACAGCACTGACTGAAACAACAAGAAAATCATACTCATTTGGAATTTAGAGTTAACCTGGGAAGCTCATGAATAAAATAAGTTTTATATATATTATCCATAAGGTTATATACACAGGAAAAAAAAAGTATTTGTTCTTTTTTTTGCTAAGAAAATAAGTCAATGTTATCAACACAATTGCAGGCAGACAAGTTTAACATAGGTAAGAGACCTAGGTTATTGGACTTTAGTTAGACGCTTACTGCACTTCTGCAGTCATGTGTTTCATCTTCATTCCCTTGTTCACCCCTCAGTAGTTGTTATCTTTTCAACCCTCAGTACCTCTTTCTCCTACTCTCCACACATATAACTTCAATGAAAAATGATTTTATTGCTCATAAATACTCTCATCTGCTATCTTTGTCTAATTGAAATTGTTCTGCATCTCCACAGCTACTTTTCTTTCCTTCTCATCTTTTTAAAACTAACCCCTTAAACCTGGACATTGTATCCCATTCAAATTCTCCTTCCATCAGTATTGCCCTCTCTAGCACCTTCAGTCTTCCTCCCTATAATGGTTTCTCTTAGACAATTCAGACTTTTATTTCTCAAGACAGCCTTCCTGTTAATTGCTTAGTATCAGTGCCATTTGCTTCTTTACATTAGCTTCTTGGAAGTCACAAACGATAAGCCCCGAAATCTTTGCTATTGTTATCACAACTTACATCTTTATAAATTAGGTGCCCAATAACATAGATTTATAATTATTTTTTATACATTTGTCATTTTAAATCATACGGGACATAACAACTAGATTTACAAACCAAAAATACCATGAAACTAGCCCTTCTATTTGTCCATGAAATTACCTTTATCAAAGATTTTTTTCTATGTATGTCTTTGAGTCACTGTCTAGTGTCCTTTCATGTCAGTCTGAAGGACTCCCATTAGCATTTTTTTGTAGGGTAAGTCTAGTCGTAACAAACTCCCTCAGCTTTTGGTTATCCGGGAATGTCTTAATTTCACCCTCATTCTTAAAGGCAAATACAGAATTTCTGGTTATAGAATTTTTGGTTGCTAGTTCTTTTCTTTTAGCAATTTAATTATTCCACTGCCTTCTGGCCTCCAAGATTTCTGAGGAGAAATGGGTACTTGACCTTATTGAAGATCCCTCATATATGGTGATGTGCTTCTCTCTTGCTGCTTCCAGGATTTGCTCTTCATCTTAGGTTTTTGAGAGATTGATTATAAAGTGTCTTGGGGTGGTTCTCTTTGGTTTTATCCTACTCGGAGCTTGCTGGGCTTCTTGGATGTGTAGACTCATGTCCTTCCTCAAATCTGGGAAGTTTTCTGACATTATTTCTTCAAATATTATTTCTGGCCCTTTCTTTTCTCCCTTCTAGAACTCTCGTAACGTGTATGTTGGTTTGCTTGATGATGTCCCACGATTCCTTTAGGCGCTGCTTCCTTTTCTTCATTCTATTTTCTTTTTGCTCCTCAGATCTGATCATTTTATCTTCTAGTTCTCTAATTTTTTTGTTCTCACAGTTCAAATCTGCTATTGTACGCCCCAGTAAATGTTTCATTTCAGTTATTTTATTTTCAGCACCAGTAATTCTGTTTGATTCCTTTTAATATCTTTATTGATATTGATATTCTTTGAGAATATTTAACACTGTTGTTTTAAAGTCTTCTAGTCTTTCCATTATCTGGGCTCCATAGGGATGGCTTCTGACAGTTCATTTTACTCTTTTGAATGGACCATCCTTTCTGTTTATTTGTATGCCTTGTCATTTTTTGTTGACACAGGGCCATTTGGATATAATGTGTTAGCTCTGAAACTCAGATTCTTCCTCTTCTGTAGAATTTGGAATTTTTTTTTTTAAATTGTTGAAGGCTGTAGTAGTTTGTCTGCTCAGTGCCCTCCCCAAACTATTTTTGCAATGGGTGCCCTCCCATGTGGACAATGAAGACTCTAATTCCCAGCACATATCCACCTAGAGTTTCAAAAAGATGTCCTTGTATTCTGGGAGAGGGGCAGGTTGGGGAGGGAACAAAAACATCTTTGCCAGTCTCTGCAACTTGGCTCTGTGCTTGGGCTCTCCTTCAATAATTCGTCTAGCCTGAAGTACACTTAGGGATCAGGCCAACGTGAAAGCTTAGAGTCTTAGGCATTTGCTGCACACATTTTACCATGAGCATACATGTGGCTTTCTCAATTCCAATGTATACTTTATGATTCTGAAAGCATTAATTTCTGAAAGAAATTCTCACTCCAGCTTCTCCTTCAGCCCTTAGGTGTTAATTGTATACTCATATCACACTGTTGAGTCTGAGGTGGCTGTGGGCGGTCACATCCTTTAGGTGTTGCTTGCTGCCCCCACCTACCCAGCGTGTGCTCCAAGGCAGACAAAAACTAATGGGAGTGCACCACTTCCTTCAGTCCTTCAGGCAGCCCCAGATAGATGAGAACAGACACCCACTGTAACCACCTGGCAAAGTCTGCTCTGCTCACTCAAGAGCCAGAGATCAGGCCCATCCTCTGAGAGTGCAGTCCACAGTCAGCTGCTGCCAGTGCCAGTGCACCAAGCCAGAGTGGGGGGGAGGGTGCATGCAGTAGAAAATAAAGGTTTTCCTACCAATTAAAAGTTGTCTTTTTTTTTCTTTTTTCTTTTAATTCAGCATTTGCTTAGTTGCTGCAATCTTCTGATTGCTTTTCAGAATTCTTACAGAGTTGAGTCTACCAATTTCTGGTTATTTTCCTTGGTGATTATGTAGGAAGATGGGGGCATGGAACTGCTCATGCTGTCATCTTCCAGGAAGTTTCTCACAGTAACAACTGTTAAAGAATCATTTCTTTCATGTTTCTCCATGTAAGTTAAGAAAACACCAAAAGCAATTAGGACAGCCAATCAGTAAAGGGCTCATTCATTAAACAAATGTTTATTAAATCCTCAGACTATTAAATAGGAATGTTAATAATTTAGCTACTTTCCATTCAAGATCCCTTTCCAGGTATAAGATGTGATTAACATACAATTTTTTTATTTGCATAAAAAACACAGGAGGCAGAATTAAGTAGCCCTACGTAAATTACTAAATCTTTAAAATGTCAAACTTGATTACATCCTTTAGAAGTTTGATGTTTCCTAGGTAAAGGAAAACAGCTAATCACAGACCCTGCAAGAAAGATGCAGGTTAGGAAATAAACATAAGAGATTTGAAGAAAGTTGTGTGGCTGTTTTAAAGTCAATAAGTTTCACTTTTGGTGGTGATTGGCTTGTACTTTTTTATTTATTTATTTTTCACAATTTATGCCCTTTATTTGGTACAATCTAAGCCTCCATCAAGAACTCTGTCTTAAAAGAGGAAAGTAAAAAGTTTAATTTGGATGTATCCCTATAAACCTTATATAAGGATCAAGTAACAGAAGAAATTTGCTGTATAAAAAAAATAAACATTTTTGGCTTTTAAAATTAATATTAAAAATTCATTTGACTGAAATTATATAATTCATTCATGTTTTCAGCAAATATTCTTTGAATGCCTGCTTTATGCCAGGCATTGTTCTAGAACCATCATTTATTTGAATTAAGACTTTTTTGTTACTAAGATTAAACTCCTTCCTGCTGAAACCTCATCAGAAGCTTATTCAGTTAAGTCTAATCAGTCACCTCTCATTCATCGTACATGAGAGAGACTCTCAACTGACAACAGGCTTTAATAGGAAAAAAAAGTGATCTGAAAGTGCTATATTTCCAAGGAGAGAGAAAGCTGCCCAATGGACAGAACTGAGGCATTTAAAAAACAAAACAAAACAACTCTGGTTACTCTACTTGCTAAGAATGATTAAATATTGGATTTTTTTTTTTTTTCACCTAGCACAAGTTCATTTTTCAGGCCATTCTTTCTAAATCCACTAAATAAAAACCTGAAAAAACAGATCTACCGTGTGTGAAGACAGTGAGGCCTGATCCTACTGCAATTTTTTAAATATTTTAACAGGACCACACCTAAATCTTCCAGGAAGTACCTTCTACTTTTTAATATTTTCAAAGATGATACCACTATCTGGCTGACACTCTTTCCAGTGTTTAATAATTGTTATTGCCCCAAGTTCTTTATATTCAAGCAAAAGCATTTTTGTATTATATTTGAAGCCCATTTTCTCCTTCTCTTTCCTCAGTTAAGCTCTATGGAGACTCTGAAAAGATGCCTGGGTGACTCAAAGACAAACTATCAGGCCTCTCTTCCTAGCCTATCCATCTCCATTTACAACCCACATTAAGTGAGGCTCCTTCATGATTTAACATCAGCACAGCATCATTTTCAAAGAAATTGCAGCAGAAATAAAATCTATTGAAAAGAATTAAAATCTTTACAGTGGAGTTTCAATAACACATCAAAGGATAATACGTTCTTAATCACAGCAAAAAAAAAGCTCTTTATCATCACTTTCAGTATCTATGTTCTATGTGGCAACAGTTTTCCTCCTCAAATAAATTTCTCTCTCCTCCCCTTCTCCTTCTCCCCACCTCCTCATCCTCCTTGGATCTCTTTTCTTTTATCTCCAATCACTCTCTGTCTTAAATATACATTCTGTTTTGCTTCCCAAAAGTTACCCTAATACATATGGTGAGATGGTGATGTTGGACACGAGAGTAGGCCAAAGTACACCACCAAAATTTAAGAGCTAAGCGCAGGAAAAAAGGCATAACTTATTATTTGTCTCTAACACATTATTCTATCACTTGTTTAAAAATAATTAATCCTTATTTGAATAAGTCTCCTAAGTCTAAGTACTTTTTTCCCCTAATACCAGTTCATTTAAACTTTTCTTTAAATTTATGAAATTTATGTCAAGTGAATTTGCTTGGTCCATGTTAAAATGTTTCTGTTTACATGGTCATCCATACTGTTGGTGCATTTTAAAATAACAGCTGAAATAATCTCTTATTTGGAAGGGTCCAAACCTAAGTCTCTCAAACTGAATGTCACTCATTTATGTGAGAAGACTTTATCAAGTTGACAAAGTGAGTATGCAATGATCCTAGTAATCATAGTCTCTTCTTGCCTTTCAGGTATTCAACTTTGATATGCGCCAGTTGAACTGGATAGACTACATTGAAAATTATGTTTTGGGAATTAAAATGTACTTATTGAAAGAGGACATGGCTGGGATCCCAGAAGCAAGGCAACACTTTAAAAGGTAAGCACAGTCAGTCAGGTAGTATTTATTGAGTCCTACTATGGACCTGATTTTATACAAGACATGAAATTTTGGTGGGGGACTATGGACCTGATATTATACAAGACATGAAATTTTGGTGGGGGACTATGGACCTGATATTATACAAGACATGAAATTTTGGTGGGGGAGGAGAGGAATTCACATTTCTCGAGCATTACTATATTACAGGTACTGCGCTCTAGACTATGCCGTTATACGTTATTTCATTTACTCTTCACCACATCCCTAGGAGACAGATATTATTTTTTGTTATGTTTACATAAGAAGTATTTAGGTAAAAGCAGGTATTTAGGTAAAAGCAGGTAAGTAACTTGTTCATGGTAACACACAGAAAGTACAAGAGTCAGGATATGAACCCAAGTTTTCTGTTTCTTCTACCACACCCTATCATAATGCGATATACAAAAAGAATACCTAGCTAACCAGCATGCGATTTAATTCTGGGATTTAAGCTGGGCAAATCACTTAACCACTTTTTAAGTCCTTCAACTTCCTTCAATTCCTTTCAGTCAATAATCTCCAAGGGAAAAAGAATTATACCAGTGTGATATAATATTTCTGGCAGAAGCAAAGGATTTGTACTGCATAGAAGATAAGGATGAAAACTTAGATGGCAGACGGATAGGGTAGAACCTTCAATAGCAGCCTACAGACTTTAGAACTTTACCTTCTAATGAAAAAGAATAAGGGAAAATTTGTGATATACTATGATCAAAGTATATTTAAGAAAATTATGCTAAACATGTTTGTGGTAGAGAGAGGTATGAGAAACTAGTTAAGGGAGAATGTTGTGTAAATCTAATTATTTAGCAAGAATGGTATGCAAATAAAAGATGAAAACCAAAACAAAGAAAATGTCACTGGGCCATCAGTCATACCACATATATCTGAGCACTCTAATACCTACTTGCTGGTCATAGCCAGGAAGGGCACATTTATGCTTCAGATAACACAGTTGGGTATTTGGTACTGTTTTAACTTTGGTTATGTATGTCTGTCCCCTAGGCTCCGAAATATTCACTACCTCTTTAATACTGCCCTCTTCCTCATCGTCTGGCGCCTTCTCATTGCAAGATCTCAGATGGCTCGGAAAGTCTGGTTCTTTATCGTGAGCTTCTGTTATAAATTCCTATCCTACTTTAGGGCATCCAGCACGCTCAAGGCCTAAAAACATTCAGCAGTCACGTTTTATCTGGAATTTCTCAGATACCTCTAAAACAGCAAAATGTGATTCTCGAGATTAGGAAGTAACAAGAAACATGCCCAAACTTATCACCTGTCAAATGTGCTGTCATGTATTCACCCCGTGTCTTAACTGTACATTCTTTTTACTTCAGTGAGAGAAGGAAAGTCATATCCTAGCCTATAATCATACATATTTTAGAAAAAAATACTTCCAGATTCCTAACATTCTATTCTGTTCTTCCATACAAAATACCAAAGTACTCTGACCTTTCTGTATTTAGTCTTTTTCTCCTTGAAAGAATTAACTCAACTCAGTAAACATGGAAAAACACGTGGCAGAAGCTGAAAAATGCAAAAGAAAGGCAGTACTGACCTTGGAAATGTTCTGGGATACCCAGTGGAAAGGTTTAAAATCAAGATGAGTAAAGGAAGAATGGTCTCGACTTCCTCACAAATGCTGTAAGAGAAATAATTCACCACTGAAAAGTCTCTCCTTCCTTTCTGTCTTTACCTTGGAATCCTGGTTTAGAGTTGGGAGAATCAGAAAAATGGGTTCACATTTAACATTTTTCTCAGCTATAAAACAAACCAAAAAACTCATCGCCATCAAGTCAATTCCTACTCATGGCGACCCCATGTGCTTAGAGTAGAGGTACACTCCAGGGGGCTTTTTTGACTGTAGTCTTACTGAAACAGATCACCAGGCCTTTCTTCCATGGCACCACTGGGTGGATTCGAACTGCCAACCTTTTGGTCAGTAGCCTAGAGCAAACCATTTGCACCACCCAAGGAACTTTTCTCAACTATACCCACTTCTTAAACCTAAAAAAGAAACAAGAGGTGCAAATAATTATGTATAGAATGAGGGCTCAAGTATATTTGCATCTGGGACTCTATTGCACTTTTAAGTAAAAATCTATTACCTCATATTTTGAGTTTGACAACTATTATTTCTAAATCTTTTAACCACCAACTCCTGATAACCTTCTCACAAAAGTTTCGTTCTTATTCCGGAAGGTCCCAAAACCCCTCATAATTAAGCTTATTTCACCTAGTTCTCAATTATCGAGGCTACTGTGGGGTTAGGTGTCCTAAGCTAGAATCACATAAAAACCTGGTCCCCTGATCTTTGCCATTAAAGAAAGCAGAATTTCAAATAAAATTTTAAACTCTACTTTTTTCCAAAAATGAGGAAGATAACTCTTCTATGATCACCAGAGAAATTATTAGTTACCATCTTAATCATTCCATTTGCACATTAACTATATAATGTACAGCAGAAAAGAGGGTAGACTTCACTAAGTGACTAAGTTTAGCAAAAAGTTGTTTTGTTTAAAACATTTTATGTATAATCTAAACAAATTAGTTTATAAAAACTATATATATTCTCAAACTCACACTATTAATGTAACTGTTACCCAACTTTACTCATACTCGAAAGATGAGTGCATGCTGGCTTGCAGCATTCTTCATGTTGAAACCATGGGATGTTATTCAAATATAATGTGTGGGGCCTAAGCAATTAATAGGCAATGATCACCACACCACTACTTGAAAATTACACAGGCATAAAATGTTAACAAACAACAGCAGTTATATATATACTCACTTTTTGGAATAATTGGTAATTGGTACTCAGAAAGACACTTGCAGGTAGTCAAAGTGTCCAAGGTCTCAAGGGCAGTATCTAGCCCACTACTGAGATTTTCCTGAACTCCATGAAAGACATTTTGAGGGAATTCCTTTGGGCTCACCAGTGTCTTTCCCAATCTCATCTAAGTTCTAGGAATTACCTTCTAGGGCAGACAACCCAGCTCTGAAACAAAGCATCCCGTGATCTTTAATTCAGATGACTACCCAATGCTTTTGAGTTACACCAATTAAGATAAAAACTATTGTTGTTGTTGTTAGTTGCCATTGAGTAGATTCCGACTCACGGCAACCGTGAAAAAGGTATGAAATCAAAATATAGTTCACTGGAATTGGGTTAAGACATAGTCGTTTTAAGAACTTACTACCTTTTGATTACTGTGTGTTTCAGCAATTCAAAAACTCCATTGATCAAGTATTCTCATTTTGACTTTTGATTAAATAAAAAATTTGAGTTAAAAAAAAAAAAAACGTTCCCTTGCTAGTGTTGTGTCTTTGTTCAACTGCTAACTACTGCAGCCAATTCCCCGTCCACGCCCACACCTCAGGAGAAAAGGAAATCATCTTTCAAAGAACTCTTTCAGCCAAATCAAAACACAGGAATAATAACGATTAGATGAATATAAGTCTAACACATAGGCACATAATTGCTTCACTTATTCTGACACCATTAATAGGGTTAGATTTACATGCTGAAGCATGTTCCATCTGTGACATCAGAGAAATGACACAAATGAAGTTCTTATGAGGATCAAGCAGTAAAAGCAGGTATCTGTATAAAAGAAATGCCTATTATAAAATTATTTCACATCAAGATCCATTAACAATTATGTATCTGCCTAATATATAGAAAGTAATAGGAAAGAGCCTTCTACTTTTGTAAAGAAGGGGATGGAAAGGGCAAACAAGCAAACAAAAACACCCAATGCCATCGAGTCAATTCCGACTCATAGTGACCCCATAAGACAGAGTAGAACTGCCCCGTAGGGTTTCCGAGGAGCAGCTGGTGGATTTGAACTTCCGAACCTTTGGTTAGCAGTCAATCTCTTAACCACTGCACCACCATGGTTCTGGACAAACAAAAGGTACCTATATTTTAAAAGAAATTTTGGTAATTCCTATATTCTGCACCCATAGGATACTTGATACAAGTAGTACCAAATAGAGTTGAAGACTGTCAGTGCCTGAGGCAATTGATACTAGAAAAAGTTGAAGCAGATACACAACTCAAAAAAAACATTTCTCACAATTTTACACTGACTTGAACACTATCACCTCCAGTTACACCTCATTTAAACAACTCATTTAGAATCTCAAGGTAAAAAGATTTGTCCAGTGTGAAGGGACAAATATTCAAATAGTGTGCTATCCCATGATGAACGTAAGAATGAAAGGAACCAGTTGCCGAGTCTACTCCGACTCATGAAAGTTGTTGCTAGCTGCCACTGAGTCAATTCAGACATAGACCAGGCTGAAGTTTTCAAAAACATCAATAATTTTCAAAGTCTATTGTAATTATACCTGAATTCCCACATGGCTACTTTTCTAGAACTGCTATCCTAACTATTATATCCGGGAACATGAACAACTGCCTATAGTAAGTAGTAGTTGTCCCTTTTGCCCACATAAACCAAAATCAGACCCACTGCCATCAAGTCAACTTTGACTTATGGCAACCTCGTGTGTTACAGAGCAGAACTGCTCCTTAAGGTTTACTGTAGCTGTGTTTATGCCAGGATTTTCTTCTGAGGTGCCACTGGGTGGGTCTGAACTAACCTTTAGGTTAGTAGTCAATTCCAAACCGCTTGTGCCACCCAGGGGCCTATATGCTCACATGAACAAAAAAAACCAAACCTGTTGCCACTGAGTCGATTCCGACTCATGGTGACTGTATAGGACAGTGAACTGCCCAGTAGGATTTCCAAGGAGTGGTTGATGGGTTTGAACCACCAACCTTTTGATTAGCAGCCAAGCTCTTAACCACTGCACCACCAGGGCTCAATATGTCCACATAGAGGTACAGAAAAATTTTCACTGACTAGTTTTTAAAAAATGTCTTGAAAAAATATTAACAAAATAAAACAATTGCTGATTTTAAGATGTAACTGCTTTGAGAGAGAGGAGTCCCTGGGTGGTGCAAACAGTTAACGAGCTAGGCTGCTAACTGAAAAGACTGGAGGTTAGAGCTCCCCCACAGGCGCCTCAGAAGAGGCAATGTCCTTCCAAAAAATCGCTACTGCAAACCCTACTGAGCACAGTTCAACTCTGACGCACCTGGGGTCATCCTGCGTAGGACAACTTGACGGCACTTGTTTTTAACTGGTAGGGCCCTCTGAAGCGTAGATACTTTGAGGCAAAGGATGCTTAACTGAAATTGAGTTGAATAGCCAGAAACAGCTCTTCTGATACACAAACATTTTAGGTACGTCCCTTTTTATTTGAAATACTGATTCTAATCTGAAGCTAGGAATATGTGGGGAGATGCGAGGTTGAACAATTTAGGTAAATTCTATAAAAATACCGTAAAGGAATTAAAGGTAAGCTATGGTACAAGAGGGAGTCCCTGGGGGGTGCAGTTACTGCTCTGGGCTGTTAATCAAAAGGTTGGAGGTTCAAGTTCACCCAGAGGTGCCTCAAAAGAAAGGCGTGGCAATCTACTTTCAAAAAATTAGCCATTGAAAACCCTATGGAACATGGTTATACTCTGACACACATGGGGTCACCATGAGTCAGAATTGACTTGACAGCAACTGGTATGGTTTGGTTTTTAAGCTTATTTTACAGTACCTGACCTTAATTTTCTAGCAGGATCAAAATGATAAAGAAATTATTTTATAACTTGTTATTTTATTTAGAGCCAAAATGTTTGGGGTTGAGAGACTACATGAAATGTTTTATGTTCTCCTATCTCTCCTCAAAACAAAACAAAAATCAACAGAAAAAGTCCAAGGCAGTTTGTTTTCTATTCTTAAACTGATGCAAATGACTTCATTACTGAAGAAATATTTCAGAAAGGGATGGGGGAAGATATTCTACTTTGATTAGATTATCACAATAAGGGAATACTTGGGGATTGATCCAGGAATTATACCATAAAGTAGTGAAGAAATAGTGATTTATTCTGATACATTGAATAAAGAGTAACTCAATTTGCTTTACTGAAGGTTTGCTAGAGCTTAAAAAGAGCTTACATACTAGATTAAAGGGCATGCTCTGATTTTTAATATCCTAAGGCCCGGGTTTAAGCCATTTTTTAAATAACCAAAAATGTGTCTTGAACTCAAGTGTAAACTCTTAAGTAGAAGTTATATATAAATGTATTTTATAATATTTGAATTACTAATCCAAGATATAAAGAGTACGTAATATATCCCTACTTACACCAGTAAAAAATGAGATCTTAGTCATTCCTTTCTGAATTCCAAAGTTTATATTAAAAGATTGCAAACTTTGTTTGCACTATTTTTTGTAAAAAAGTTGGGTGCTATCATAAAATGTATATGAGAAAATGTGATAATAATTAAGTAGAAAATTAGAAATAATTTTTTAATTCTGACAAATATTCACTGAGTTAAGCTCTTCCAAAGAGGTAGTCTAAAGTATACAAATACTGCAGGAAATAGTCACCTAAATTTTTAATATTTTTATAGGCCAATGTAGGCAAAGATGTTTTAAAAAAAATCCATTTTACATAATTTGAGGCCCGAAATTTAGGCTGGAGTACATTCACATAGATATTATAAATACCCTAATGAAAAGAAAAGGAGGGTTGAGTAATAAAGCTGGACATTACGGCTGGAGACATCCCAGGCACAGGGCAAAGTTCTACCATAGCTAGGTCAGTAAAGTGCTCTCATCAAAGGAAAAGAAACACTTGGTAAGGTCAAAACCTCTCAAAAGATCCTAATATGCAGCTATACTTCATCACTTGCAGGGCTGGCCAGAAGCTTAGTACTTTCACTGCCAAAAATGTGACCCTATTTAAAGAGTGATGGAAACCTTTCTTAACTTTTAATGGAAATCAATGGCAAAACAGGATATTGATCTTTAAAAATTCCTTTTATAGTCAATCTTACTGGGACAGAATAATTCCATTAAAATTTTAATATGGTATTTGGAAAACATGTAAACAAAATATTTAAGTACTACAATAATTTTAACAATTCTTTTTAAAGAACTTAACTTATAATCCTAATTGAAAGAAAATAATCATTTTTTCCCCATTAAAAACAAAACTAAAACTTGGTTGAATTTTCTGACATACAGATTCAGAGAACCAACACTCAGTCTCAATTCACTAAAATTCTAATTCTTGTCAATTAAAATTTCTTTTGAGAGCTGTTCCATTCGTTCCTAGACCAAGTTTACTGAAAATAGCTGAAGAAACAAAACAGATAAAGCACATTTATTTTCTGTTTGTTTTTTATTTCAAAACCTTTCAAGGCTGGTTATGTCATCTATATTAGTCAGTTAACTTCGTGACTCTTAATGATAAGTGGTATATTTTAAATAAAGATGCCTCTGTTATCTTCTGCAAAGTATCATGCAATATAAACTTTACTGCAATGTAGTTTTTGTCACTATTCTCCCTTCTCTTTTATTACAGTAAGTCTGTCCCAACTGCTTTCAAGGAATTTTGTTTTAACTTAAAAAAAAAAAAAATTTAAAAAATAATAATGTATTTTCATTCTCTAAAAGCTATCATTTAAATCTAATCTTTTAAAGTCTCGACCTTGTTATTTACCTGGAATTGTTTCCCTACATGATTTAAACTTATGGGGACTAGTTGATGATTCTTCTAAGTACTACAAAAAGAAAAGTGATGTTGGCACACACATTCCAAATACAGACTTTAATGGCACCTGAGTGATAGCACCCTCTCATTATTTTCTATCTCTTGTATTCTGGAATTTAAAATCAACCCTTAAATAACAAATAAATAGCAAGAAAGCTAAAACAACACACTCTAATACAGAACCAGTCACATTCAGGATACCCTGAATGCAGATACTTCTTCTGTAATCTAGTTTTTCAGTTTAACGGACAGTTTAATACAGCATCTCTCAGATCTGACATTGCGTTGTCTTACTTAATCTGCCTCATTCTTCTATTTTACCCTGTTCCCCACTCACTACAACATGTATAAAATATTCCATACATGCCCCTTTTTCCTCTTAATATTTGACAAACTAGTCATCTCCATAAATCAGAAGCGAATTTTTATATCACCCCCCCAAAGCATACCAATACTAAATGATCGAATTAGGAAACTTCAGTTTCTTAAAAAAATGTGCTTTCTTCTCCGTATCTAAGTCCCTACTATAAAATCTGTCAATGATACTTCTGTTACGTATCACTGCACCTATGTGTCTCCCCCCTGTAGAATGCACTTTAGTCTTCTAAGACTCCCTCTTGAACAGTTAGAAACATCAATCACCAGAGTTCAAAGAAACGCAGTTCTCTTCATAAGACCAAATTATTGGATAAATGGTCTTGTCAATATGGCTTAACATTAATATGGCTATAACATAGGGACTAGTCCCTGTTTTCCTTTATTAATTGTGTGACCTGATCACAATTTTTTGAAGTCTAGACTAGTTTTCCATGTTTTCCACATTTTATTCTGACATCATATCTTTTAAAAACAAAAGGGAGCAAACATTTGCACTTATCAATGCCTTTTTCTTTAGAGGTGTTTGAAGTCTTTTCTTCGGGCTTTCTGTCACCAAGAAGTAAGGTCTGATTTTGATACTGCCCCTTTGTTGTGAAATAATCCGAAGGGGTCATCTTCAAGGCAATACTCCAGTTGGGCTTAATCACTGATTAGTGGCATAATTTCTTCTAGGACATTTGTAACAGACAAGACATATATAGATTTTCAGTTTGGGGTTTGTTTCTTTTTTTTTTTCCATAGGTGTGTTTCCTACCTCTCATTCATATTTTCTTTTCTTTGAATATATTGCACAATATTTTACTATTAAAAAAGGTTTTCTGTTTCAGGCAAAAAGTTTTTTCTCCTTCGCTCAGAAGGTGCTAATGTGTATTATTTTCTAAAAGAGGTAAGTGGTTGTCTGTGTGGTCATCCTCAAAGGTGATCTAGGGAGGAAAAAAAAAAAAAAAAAAAAGACCAAAGGATTAGTTTTATTCCTCACCCTACTTCCTTTAAAGACAAAGATTTATTTTGGGCAATTTCTTTCTGGGCAGCAAAAGCTTAACAATGATACTCTGGCTTATACACCAGCACTATTTATACTATACCACTTACAGAATTGACAGGTTTGTAGGCTCCAAGTCTGAAACGACAGCAAATTATTTCAACTATAAATTTTCCAATTCCATGTAACATGCCTGTAATAAACAATAAGTTTATACATCACCAGAAAACAGGCAGATGTTTTTAATTAAATCACTTTCTAAATTACTATGTAAGAATAAAAAAGGTCAACTAACTTCAACGGGATAGGTTAAGGAAAAAAACAAAAGTTTGCTTTATTCATTTCCACAGTTGAAAATAATCAAGACAGTCAAATTTTCAGACAACTGTCATTTCTCTTTGAAATCACAAGGCCATAGAATTCATAATCCTGACAATGTCATCTCTTCAAGGGTGCTGAATATATCACACACCCACAGAATTAAAACAAATAAATACCAACACCACAAATTTAAATGAAGCACTGACAAAGACTTTTATTAAAACAGCTATTTATTCATTTAAAAAACATAACTCAAAGTATATAAATTACGGGCTGGAGATGAAGAGGAAACTGTTTCCTTTCTACCGTACTTAACTCTCAAATTATCATGATTACAATTCTGCAGATAATCTTTCACAGTATCCCAGAATCTAGGTCAAAAAGGTAGTAGCAATCATCTAATTTAAAACCCCACAGGAATTTAAATCCTCTCTCTTCAATATCCCAGTCAAATGACCACTTAATTTTCTATTTAAATAGGGTGTACAGTGATGAGGAAAAGTAATTCGTTATATCTTAAACAAAAGAACTATAATGTGGTACATTTTTTTTTTTATCAATAATTACAAAATTCTGTTTTGAACTAATTTTATTCTGTAAAGATTCCATGTTCCAATCCTAGCTAAGAAACTTGGGAAATCATAAAAATAGTTATTGATGGAAAAAATCTGATTGTACATATTGCATAGTTCAAAGTATCGTAAGATCAGATTTTATATAGTATACATTTAAAAATATCTTAAATGAAGAATAAAATTTCTCTCTCTGGGCACCTTCTCATTTAATCCTACCACATACTTGTAAATTAGGTACTATTATTCTCATTTTTACAGATGAGGAAACAATCTCAGAAAAGGTAGGTGATTTATCCAAGACTACCAAGTAAGTGGCAGAACTTGGATTAAATTCTCACTCTGTCTCATGCTAAAACCCAGGATCTTTCTAACATACAATGCAATCTCTCTTAAGTTATTGAATACAGTGAACTTAGTTATGTTTAATGACTAATCAATATAATTTTGGAGCCTTGGAATTAAATCTTAAAGAAAATGTTTTTTAGATATCAAGACATGAGAATGTGTATACTTCTTGTCTTTTAGTAAAAGTATCTTGATTTTAGTATAAGCAACATGCTTAGAAATTAGACAAAATAAGAAATGAAAGTTAACCTGTTGTTGAAAAGATTCCTCCAACAATCCCACAGAGTCTTACAAAGAACTGCCAGAATGGCATGTGCTCCTCAGTAACTGTCACCATAAGAGAACTGAGATCATATTTCATAAATATCCCAGAAACTCCATGGCTGCCTGCAGCATGGTTAATGACACGCTCCTGAAAGGAAGGCATAAGGAAGGCGGGATGTAGGAGGAAAAGAGAGACAGAATTCATATCATCTGGTTACTTGTATACAGTCAATATTAAGCTCTTCAGTCCTCCAAATTTGGGGCATCCAAATTTCTTTACGAAGGTCTTAGTGGACTAAGCCCTTCAGAGGTGATCAAATTATCCTGTATTCCTTGTATGGTTAGCTTTTGAAACTATCAAAGAGCAGAATTATTCTTTACTATTTTCTCAAAAAAGCACTTTATATACAAGTTTCTACTGAGCTCAAGAGCTTAAAATGATAAGGTACTTTTTTCACTGACCGAATCAATGAAAACTAAGTTTATGGTTTGACATACTTTCTGTAGTATTTCTTTGCTAGGAATTTACATAACAATATTTACTTCCAGTCATTTAAATAACCAGATTTAAAAACAAATAATTTCATTTCCTGTTGTTCCTTTTAAACTATATAAGATACAGTACAGGAAGAAAACAATGCAGTGATTTGAAGGATATCAACATTTGAGCTATTAGTTCAGTTTAATAAGGAATTCTTTTTTATTGAAAGGAATATAATTAACTTTTCTTTTTTATTAAAAGGAATATAATTAACTTCATAAACCTACCACAATGTATACACTGAGCAAGGAAATACTCTATTTCCTTCCATCCTGGTTACACTTCAAACATTAAGTTTGCAAACTTTTTAATAAATTTCTAAAAAAGCTTTACACAACTTTGCTACCATAGTGCTTTGTTATGACTTTTGTGCCAGTCCCTACCTATTTTTACCAAGATACAACTATAACTATGCTACAGGGTCACTATGAGTCAGAATCAACTCAAAAGCAATGGGATAACTACACTGCAAACTTAAGAATCCAAGTAATGAGGTCAGCTATCACCAAGGGAAATTAAAACAATTTTATGTGAGACATTACAAAACCCCTTCCCCCATCAACACAATAGAACCTTCTAAGCCATTGATCGAGTTTCCAATAAAGTAGCTTTATCTTAAAGTTCTGGATGTCCAACATCATGCCAGAGTTATTAAATATATTGTCACCACCTTTATGGGGGCGTGTTTTAGGGATCAGGATGTCTACGTAACAAAAGACTAATAATGATTCAATTTAGGTGCCAGAACCAGTGAAGGTCAGTCCCCTACCACCTCACTTTACAACTCCAGTTACCTCATTTATTTTTTAAGTAAAGTATAACTATTTTAGTCACACAATCAACACAAACATTTCCCTCAAAAGTCAAATGCTCTGGGGCTCAGCTATTATTTCGTTCTTTTTGATGTTTTTTAAAATATACTCCAGAGATCATTTCATATATAGAGAGAGTTTCATTCTTTTTTTTTTTTTTAACAGCTGCATACCCCTCCATTGTGTAGATGTACCATCTGGGTGGTTTCTAGTCTTCTGCTACTGCAAATAACACAATGAATAGCATTATACACACATCATTTGTATTTTCTCCAGTGTGTTTTTGGGATGGATTTCTAGAAGTAGGATTGTTGGGACAAAGGATCAATAAATATGTCATTTTGCAGACATTGCCAAACTCCCTTCCATAGAGACTACACCATTTGTATTAATGTATGTGCACTTGTCTTCCACAAAACCTTGCCAACTGTGTTTCTGCCAATCTTAAACATGAGAAATGGTAGCTCTCCACCCCTACAGAAATGTTGAAAAGCACAGTACAGTATATACCTGTAAACACATGCACACGTTATATATACTTTTTTCACCCTGAATCATTTGAAAAAAAGTTACAACACATGACACATCACCCCTCAATAATTCAATAGCTAATGTCCAAAGAGCAAAGTAAATTCTATTGAAACTTGATATACATTATAACACTACCATTAGGGAACACCATATGGAGGACAGCAAATTTTAAAAAGCACTAAAATTTTGCCTTGGAAGTCTTCTGGATATTAATACTTGAATATGCACAATTCTTAAACATGATAATAAGTAAACTTGGTCTCAGAAAACCTGTTGCTGTCGAGCTGATTCTGACTCATAGCGATCCTACAGGACAGAGCAGAACTGCCCCACAGGGGTTCCAAGGAGTGGCTAGTGGATTCAAACTGCTGACCTTTTGGTTAGCAGCCGAGCTCTTAAGCACTATGCAACCAGGTCTCAGAGTAGATGAGAAATCTGTTAAACTATCCAGTTCCAAAACTCTGCTCCTCATTGTCTGTACTTATTTATAGTCACCCACTCTGAGGTTGAAGAACATTCCTCCTCTCAATCAGAGAAATACAAGGCACTAACTGAAGGCAAACCTTCTCTACATTTATTATTTCATCCACAGTAACCATGCTTGCTACACAATAGGTGTATTTTTTAATTAAAAAAATAAATAACACAGAAGTCAGATAATTTGCTAGCAGATAAGCAAGAACTGCTTACACCAATATGAAAAAGCAAATTACTAAATTAAGACATTGAGAATAAAGTAATTAATACCACCATAGTGCAACCATTTTAAATCTCAACTGAATATAAAACATTTCAGGTTAAAAAATCTATTTCTTTTTTGCTCTACAACAAACTAATATTCCTTTCTGATATAATGCTGGCTTAAAATATGTTAATGTATTTCAAAACTTCCCACAAATCTTTAATTAGGGGAAGAGTACCAACTGGAACTCCAAACTTATTTCATAAGTGGGAGGGAGACTATGAAATCAACTTACCCTTTCTGTCACAGAAAATTGGTGAGTGTCTGCTGAAATTTTATATGTATGTAGTTTTGTTGGCACAACTGTAATAAAATACTGGAACATCTGGTTGTCTGAAATAAAAAGAAAGTATGTTGTTTTCATCAACCCAGTAGCAACAAAACTACTGCCAAATATATCCTTCTTCTATTAAATACAATTAACCTGAAATTTAATGTTACCTATGACTTAGTGTTCAACAAAAAAATAACTTTTGAAGAAAGAACCAATGAAAGCAATATACTCATACTTGGTGAAACCAGTTTTAAGTAAGCATAAATAGGCACACACACATATATTAGAAGATGTTAAAAAAGATGAACTAGTGGTTTAGATATCCTTTATAATCATTATCATCCTTTTATCAAATATGGAAAATAGAAATGGTATGTCTTTATAGCACAGAAATGAAGAAGAGTAAAATAAAGTTACAATAGTATAGTTACCACAAGACACATATTCTAAGTAAAACATCTTTCATTACAAAACTACGCTAAAGGAGTAAAATATTAAGAAAGAATACTAATCTATTCAAATTAGTGAAAAGTTAAATCCTTAATTTCACAGTAGCAGAGGAAGCCTTAAAAATCCTTGAAAGGTCCGATGGGTGGGGCATGTCACACAATATGACTATTTAAGAGCAGGAAGCCAATCAAAAACCTTCAGGAAACATGAGAACAGACTATGTACTACAAAACTAAGAAAATAACCTTTCCATGTTTGGATAAACTAGTATAATAAATGGAGTAGAAGGTTAAAGAACATTAATAAAAGGTATCTACGCTACAAGGTACTACTCCTAATGCTTAATAACTAAACCATTGTAGAATAATTCTAGTTTCCGACATTCGTAAAATTCATCAAAGAGGCCTCTAAAATGGTAAGCATGCATTTTAGAAATCTGTAACCTTTAGAAAGAAGAAAATTCTTCTAAAATGTCAAAATTTTCTTTTTGCTTTTATTCTTTCTTTGGTGAATATGCAAAAGCATAGCTGTATCCTATTAACACATTAATCTTTTATATAGTATTTAGAGAGTGTTTAAATTCTTTTTTCCCCAATTTTTCATTAATTTATTTTAATTTTATGGTGCTTTAGGTAAAAGTTTACAGTGTAAATTAGTTTCTCATTTAAACTTTTATACACAAATTATTTTGTGACACTGGTTACAATCCCTGCAATATGTCAGCACTCTCCCCCTTCTATCCCAAGTTCCCCGTGTCCGTTTCTTCTAGTTTTCCTGTCCTTTCTGCCTTCTCGTCTTTGCTTTTTGGTAGGTGTTGCCTATCTGGTCCCATATACTTGATTGAGCTAAGAATAAGAAGCACGATTCTCATGTGTGTTACTGTTTGTTGTACAGACATGTCTAATCTTTGGCTGGAGCCCTGGTGGCACACTGGTTAAGAGCTTGGTGGCCAACCAAAAAGGTTGACAGTTTGAATCCACTAGCTGCTCCTTGGAAACCCTACAGGGTAGGTCTACTCTGTCCTACAGGGTTGCTATGAGTCAGAATCAACTCGACGGCAACAGTTATTTTACAGGTTAATCTTTGGCTGAAAGGTGGACTTCGGGACTGGCTGAAAGTGTTGAAATTCTACTCCTGATCTCGTCTACTTTCAACTCCTAATTTATTTTCTCCTATGGCTTATTCTTGTCAAATATTTCATTATTCTTAGATCAACAATCAATGCCCATTGAAGCAGCCATCAAGAAACTGCAGTGGCAAAACCTCAACAACAAAAAGACAAATAACCCGATTAAAAAATGGGCAAAGGATATGAACAGGCACTTCACCAAAGAAGATATTCAGGCAGCTAAGAGACACATCAAGAAATGCTCACGATCATTAGCCATTAGAGAAATGCACATCAAAACTACAATGAGATATCATCTCACACCAACAAGGCTAGCATTAATCCAAAAAACACAAAATAATAACTGCTGGAGAGGTCGTGGAGAGACTGGAACACTTACACACTGTTGGTGGGAATGTAAAATGGTACTTTGGAAATCAATTTGGTGCTTCCTTACAAAGCTAGAAATAGAAGTAACATATGATCCAGCTATCCCGCTCCTTGGAATATATCCTAGAGAAATAAGAGCCATCACACGAATAGATACATGCACACCCATGTTCACTGCAGCATTGTTCACAATAGCAAAACGATGGTAACAACCTAGGTGCCCATCAATGGACGAATGGATAAACAAATTATGGTATATCCACACAATGGAATACTACACAACGATAATGAACAACGATGAAGCTGTGAAACATCTTATAACATGGAGGAAACTGGAGGTCATTATGCTAAGTGAATTTAGTCAGTCACAGAAGGACAAATATTGTATAAGATCACTATTATAAGAACTCAAGAAAAGGTTTAAACACACAAGAAAACATTCTTTGATGGTTACGAGGGTGGGGAGGGAGGGTGAGAGTTATTCACTAACTAGATAGTAGACAAGAATTATCTTGGGTGAAGGGAAGGACAGCACACACTACAGGGGAAGTCAGCACAACTGGATTAAACCAAAGCTAAGAAGTTTCCTGAATACAATCAAACACTTCGAGGGACAGAGTAGCAGAGGTGGGAGTCTGGGGTCCGTGCTTTCAGGGGATATCTAGGTCAACTGGCATAACAAAGTTTATCAAGAAAATGTTCTGCATCCTACTTTGATGAATGGCATCTGGAGTCTTAAAAGCTTGCAAGCAGCCATCTAAGATGCATCAATTGGTCCCAACCACTTGGAGTAAAGGAGAATGAAGAACACCAAAGACACAAGGAAAGTATTAGCACAAGAGACAGAAAGGGCCACATAAACCAGAGATTCCATCAGCCTGAGATCAGAAGAACTAGATCGTGCCCAGCTACCACCAATGACCACCCTGACAGGGAACACAACAGAGAGCAGGAGAAAAGTGGGGTGCAGAACTCAAATTCTAGTAAAAAGACCAGACTCAATGGTCCGACTGAGATTGGTGGACCCCCATAAAGAATGGCCCCCAGATTGTCTATCAGCCCAGAACTGAAACAATTTCTGAGGCCAACTCTTCAGACAAAGATTGGACTGGACTGTGGGACATAAAGTGATACTCGTAAAGAGTGTGCTTCTTAGCTCAAGTAAATACATGAGACTAAACGGGCAGCTTCTGTCCAGAGGTGAGATGAGAAGGCAAAGACGGTTACGAGCTGGTTGAATGGACATGGGAAATCAAGGGTGGAAAGGAAGAGTGTGAGGCACAGTATAGGGAGAGCAATTAGAGTCACTTAACAATGTATGTATAAATTTTTGTATAAGAGACTAACTTGAAATGTAAACTTACACTTAAACTGCAACAATAAACAACAAAAAAAAAATGTCTAAAAAAAGAAAAGAAAGAAACTGCACTGGGCAAATCTTCTGCAAAAGACCTCTTTAAAGTGTTACAAAGCAAAGAGATGTCACTTTGAGGACTAAGGTGCGCCTGACCCAAGTCACGGTATTTTCAATCACCTCGTATGCATGCGAAAAGTGAAAAAGGAAGACCAAAGAAGAATTGACAAACTCAAATTATGGTACTGGCGTACAGTATTGAATATAGCATGGACAGCCAGAAAAACGAACAAAACTGAAGGAAGTATAGCTAGAATGCTCCTTAGAAGCAAGGATGGTTGAGACTGTCTCATGTTCTTTGGACATGTTATCAGGAGGGACCAGTCCCTGGAGTAGGACAGCATGCTTGGTAAGGTAGAGGGTCAGCAAAAAAGAGGAAGACCCTCGACGAGATGGACTGACACAGTGGCAGCAATGATGGGCTCAAATATAGCAATGATTGCGAGGATGGTGCAGGACTGGACAATGTTTCATTCTGTTATACTTAGGGTCGCTATAAGCACCTAACAACAATGGCTCATTTTTAACATTCAAATTTCAGCCACTACTAGAACAAACCTTTCCCATACATTTCTCATTCATCAATCAACTTAAAGATTATCTTTACAAGGGAGTTAGGAGAGGGTTATTTAAAATGTATTAATATTAAGGTTTTAAGAACAATTTTCTGCATGCAAATCTATAAAGTGATTATAAAATACTTACGATCTACAGCAATTTTTTCAGTTCCATCTAAAGGATTAATAATTCCTGGAACGAGCTCTCCAAAAGACAAATGATCTATTCTATGGGAAAAGTTGTAAGCTAAGAGGCAAAAAATAAAACCAACTAAGCACAGAAAGTATATTATTCAAACCACACGTTAGAGACTGATTTACAATCTATGCTCAAATGAGATATCGAAAATCTGCAGGTATAACAATATAGTATTTAAAACCACATTATTTTGGGAAAAATACATATAAACACGGTGAGAATAACTAAAAATTAAATGTATAAGGTAAGTAAACTCTGATAAAATGCTATATCTCAAAAGTTCATAATTACATACAAATTAACTTTTAAGAAATGATATTACATCTAATCTTGATGTCTAAAAAAATATTTTTTTCTAGTCTAAATCATACAGCAAAACATCTATGTTGTTTGAAAAATTGTGATGACCTTCATGTAGCCATAACAAAACTGCTCATTATCTGACATACTTTTAATATATACCATTGCTATATATGACCAAAGTGAATTTCTCATGGAATGTATTACTTGTTTTTGTTCTCTAAAGCAGACTTTAAAAACTAACTTTTATGACAATCATTACACCAAATAACTTGAAGACTTTATATGTGCAAGTATATATGTCCATATTTAGATTTCCAAATTAAACTTCACATACATTATTATCCATAAAAACCAGTGGAAACATGTACAAAGCAATATAAAGTACACTCAAGGCTTTCCTTCCTACCTCAGCAACATCTGAAACTATGACCTATTAGAAATACAGAAAGCTTGAAGACAAGAGAAAATGGATTACGGTCTCTAAACGCAGTCATTTATTTTCTTCTTTGGATATCTGTTTTCAGAAAAGCCCATTTTCAAAGCCCTACCTTGTACCTAAACTAAAATTAAAATACACACACACCACTTTCTTTTCAAAGATATCTTCACAAGAAATTTTTCAGAAACTGCTTACAGTCATGGTTGACAAGTGCTGCCAAATGTGCATGACCCCGGGGATGCGGAATTGCCCTGAAAGGAGGGAAAAAAGAGTAAGAAATAACTTTTTAATATATAACTAATTAAAATCAGAAAGTGGATCTTTCTTAAATTATAATTTTTTGTAATAAAAAACAATGTAAGAATGCATTTGACCTATGATATAAGTAGACATGTCTACTCATTTCAGCAATGAACCTGGGGGAAGGGGGGATTGGCGAATATTCTCTTTAAAGAGCCAGATAATAAATAGCATACACTTTGTTGGCCAAGATGTAATATCAAGGGTATTGTGTAATTACTTAGATAACATGAAAACAAATTTCACTAATTTTTTATTGATTAAATTCAAAACATAATACTTGAGGAACAATTTTTTTATAACATAGGTATAGGGCCACTGTGGGTCGGAACTGACTCCACAGCAAAGGGTTTGGTTTTTTTTGGTTTAGGGACAAAAATGGAATTCTTTATCTCAGGTAGAAAATATTTTATTTAATTGGGGTTTAGAGCTAGTGTTCCCTATTTTCAAAATTGATCACAAACGTTTATCTATTAATGGTGACTTCTAATGAGATTTTACATATTTCATCTTTGAATATATTAATCATGTGAGCATGTTTTACTTGAGCATATTCACTGCTTAGAAGGCATTTACAGAACTCTATTAGATTTTTCTCTTGATATTTGTCTTTTAACATGCCATTACATTACACATTAATCACTCCCAATTAAAGTTAAGGCAAAAGCTCCTGGATTGCACAGTTAAATGGATTTTGTAATATGAAAATTTCCTTTGCATGTAAAATATATTCAGGTATGAATTATCAGAATAGGCAAATGCATAGAGATCTAAGTCTAGTGGTGGTTACCAGGGACAGGTGGGAAGGGTAATGGGGAAGTAATGCTTAGGGTGTACTGAGCTTCTGTTAAAAGTGGTGAAAAAAATGGGTAACAGACAGTGGTGATGGTCACACAACATGACATGGTGAACGTAATCAATGTCACAGAATTGTACACATAAAAATGGTTGAAATGGCAAACATTTTGTTATATATATTTTACCACACACACACACACACACACACACACACACAAAATACATTCAAGTGTAGGAATGGAGATCTCGTTTCTTGTTTCAACTATTGACAGCACAGGCAGTGTATACAGCAGCTTGACATTACTTATCATTCAAATAATTTTATCACAGTATAACTTTTGTATATAAACGCAGTTTTTGCCTTTTAATTTTAGGTTAAATTCATTAAGAAACATTATCAAGTCTGTCAAAAATAATTTCCAAAGCTATTCAGTGTTTGTTAACAGTGGTTGATGGCAGTTCTTCTTGTTCAGAAAAATTTCAATCGAGGGTCTGAACAACAACAAAAAAAAATCACAATAAAACTTTATCACTACTAAACAACCATCATACTGTTGTGTAGTGGGGCAAGCTGGGGTACTCAGCTTTTACTTCTGACAAAAATTCATGGAAATGACAATGGTTAACTCCACCAGAGCAAATGAAGTTCACCACTGACACTACTGGTTCAATAAAACATGATAGATTCAAACATCTTCTGCAAAGTACCTGCTGATGATACAATGAATAACTACAAGCTTTCAACAACTTACATTTTCATAAACTTTGAAAATTTATCCAAGGAAGCCTTTTTCTACTCCACGCACGTTTTTACTACCATCAGTTAAAATACATCTTAACAGACTCCACCTCAGGTTGTACTGAATTTATGTTATCTAAACTTCTTTGAAAATATTCTTGTAGTTTTTCCACACAGGCTAGTCATAGAAGCTAATTCTTTAGTTACTTCAAGCTCAGCATTGACTCCTTAACTGAACAACTGAGCAGTATTGGTAACATCTGTCGACTAATCAAGAGTCAAGGAAAACCACTCAAAATCACTTGCGTTGATTTTTTTATATTTTGTTGAGAATATACACAGCAAAACATACACCAATTCAACAGTTTCTACATGACACTGTTTACATTCTTCAAGTTGAGCAACCATTCTCACCCTCCTTTTCTTAGTTGTTCCTCCTCCACTGGCATAAACTCCCTGCCCACTAAGGTTCCCATCTAATCTTTTGAGCTGCTGTCATCACTTTGATCCCATATAGATATTTCTTAATACAGCATAATGCTCAAGGCAGACATTTTTACTAGTCACTGAACTACTGTTTGGTTTTAAGAAGATTTCGGGATATTTTTGGTTTAAGGTTTAAAGATTATCGCAGGGCAATAGTTTCAGCGGCTCATCCAGCCTCCATGGCTCCAGAAAGTCTAGAGTCCGTAAGAATCTGAAATTCTGTTCTACATTTTCCCCCTTTTATAGAATCTTTGATCAAAATGTTTAGTAATGGTAGCTGGGAACCATTCAGTTCTTCTGTTCTCATGGCAAAGGAGGTAGTTGTTCATAGAGGCAATCAGTCACACAATCCATATTCTCCTCCTATTCCTGACTCTCCTTTCTCTGTTGCTGCAGATGAATAGAGACCAATTGTTGTGCTTTGGATGGCCCCTTATAAGCTTTTAAGATCCCAGCAACTATACAACAAATTAGGAGGTAGAACAGAAGCACTAAACATGTTATTAGGCCAATTAACTGGGACATCCCATGAAACCACTTGCCTTGATTTTTAATTGGCTATTAATGCTGCTCTCAATGCCCTTAAGCTGGAGCAACTCTTCTTGCCGAAAGGCTAATAGTCTTAGGAAGTTTATTTTCTCTGGACACATTTCTTCGGCTACTACAAACAAATACTATTTCATTAACTTATCAGTAAATGGCTTTCCTTACTTCGCTAACAAATGAACCACTTGGAAATTCACTGTGGTTACAGCCTCATTTTCATTTTTTATTTTTATGAAAACATTCTGCTGTGAAGAGATATTCCATTATAATTTTTTAAAAATGTTTCTAACCATTGCTTTCCTGTGAATTAGAAATATTATGATGAGTGCTTAGTTTGTTAATTGTGACATATACTGTATTTCTTTTAGCACAGCTATAGTGTCATTGCATAATAAACACCATGTTCTACGGTCAAATTTGATAACAAAATAGGCCATACTCTGCTGTGCCTTGAAGGTACATTTCAAAGCCCACATTTCTTTTTGTCTTGTTTTGATATAGCAATAAAAAATAAAATGTTTCAGTACAGCAATACACATGGGAATCTAATGCTGTCAAGCAATAACTACAACACTGTGAAAATGCAGTGCACTAGCCACAGCACAAAGTGATGAGAGAGTCACATACAATCTCTTTCACAAATACTCAACTCAGGCAAAGCAATGTAAAAGCAGCCACACATAAACAAGTTAGTGTAGTTGTCTTCCAATAAAACTTTATGGACACTGAAATTTGAATTTCATGTTTTTCATGTGTCATGACATATTACTCTTTTGATTTCTTTTCATCCATTAAAAACTGTAAAAACCATTCTTAGTTCATGTGCCATACAAACATAGGTGGTGGACTGGATTTGGCCCACAGGTTATAGTTTGCCTACTCCTACAATAAACCATGCCCTTTGCTCTGCTATATATTGTTATATCTGCAACTTTAACTGGTTCTTTTAATTCCTTCATATTTTCAGGAATAACTACTAATCTCCCCCATTCCTGGTCAAAAAACTTTTCAAAACATCAGTTTGGAGATTTCCTGAAATTATCCCTCACTCTCGCTTTACCCAGTTACCAATTCTAACAATTAACTAAAAAAAATGGAAATAAACATCCCCAATAAAACAACTTAGTCTACTTACCTGTAACCAAATAAATGGTTTCAATTAAATGCCCTACTGGTTCTACATATTTACTTTGTTCTATACTGTACTCAGAGCACTGGGCATTTAAGGAAAAAAAAAGTAAATAATGGTTAGGAAAATACATTAACATCCAACATAAAGTATATAATAAAAATCCTGTGCAGTAAAACATCTCCCTTATGCATTGGAATGATTAATATTTTGGTCTGGTAAAATCCCGTGTTCATGGTGATGTATATTACCTCAAACTTACTACTAAAAAGAAAGTCTACTGTCGCAGGTTATTATCCTAACTCCACTGATACCAGTACTCTAACAGTATTCCAGCTATAGTTTTCAAACAGTACAAATTTAGAAAGAGGAATTTCCTGAATGATCGAATTACAATATTATACCTTAATTCAACATTTTCTTTCACTCCTCAGGATTTTACTGAGAGGAAGAGAGAATCATTTTAAGTTGTACTTCACTCTTTTTTCTTTAACAGATGTATACCCAAACATTTATGAAATAATAGCGTAAGCAAGCATCTTTCAAAAAATTAAAAGAATCAAATTAAATCACCCTGTTACAGATACTGTAGTTCTCTGATATTTTACTCTCCATAGAAAGGCCAGATGTTCAGAATTTATCTTTTTTTTTTTTTTTTCCTGGTACATTGCACTTTCTACCTCTCAGATGGGAATCTAGTCTGTTTGATTTTTAGTAGAGGAGAGGTTATTTGAAAATTGGTGAGGGATCGGGGGAGGCACTTTTGGTTGTCACGATTATTACGGAGGAGTTGCTACTGGTATTTAGTGAACAGCAGTACGGGAAGCCAGGCATCCTGCAATGCACTGCACAGTCTCACACAAAGAAGAATTCTCCCATGTATATTTAAGAGACACTCATGTGTGTGAAAAACCTATTTATAATTATCTGAATCTAGAACTTAATTTCATTTTACAGATACAAAGTACTTTGTTGCGGTTTCCATATACAATAAATATCTCAGGAAATTGAGGGAAGATTATACTTTGTTTGCTCACATTATTACAAAGAGTTCTTCACTATTACAGACTAGCATCTCATCCACAGAAATGCCACTCATGGTATTTGAGTTGCCAATACATCTGTTTCAGTATGTATCTATAGCTGTTGTACACCTAATGATTCTACATATAGGTGGCAAGCATCTGCCTATTTCATTAGGTCTTCTAGTGTATTCATGCTCAAGCATCTGCATACTGAAATATGTATTACTATACTATAAATCATGTTCTGTTTATTTTTCCTTTAAATAATAGTTGAGAATAACATTGGGTCTGAGAGGTAATGAGATCTTCAAAAAGATCAATATTGAACTTGAAATACCTAATACCAAAAATTAGGAGTCGGCTTATAAGATGTTCCTGAGATGATACATACCAAATGCTTTTACATTCTGCCTCTCTTATTGATGGTATGAGTTATTACATGGAGAAAGAAGTGAATTTGAAAAAACAAGACCAAACGGGGGGAAAAAGCCATAATACAGGCTCATAAAATATTTGTCGAAGTTTCCCTCCTTCAGTTAGTCTTCGATTAGGGAATTGTTTGCATTCGATGGTGCAAAAATTTTTTCTAAATTTCTCTGAGCCAAATGATACATGCTACTTCTATGATACCCAGATAGTCCATGGTTCCCAGCTACATGGTGGAAAAGCAGGTAGAATAACAGTAACAAAACAACAAAACATGAAATTTTAAGGAGAGAAGAACAAAAGAGATCAAATAATTGTCTGATCTGCAAATTATAAACACCAAAGTCATTGTTCACAAAAATCTAGTGCTATTTCTATATTTAAAAAATCTATCCCCTAGCCATGATTCTCCCTACATTATGGTCTGGAATGCCTTTCCCCTCCTTTATATATTAAATTCTTAATCATCCATTAGTGTTCAAAGGTTTTCCTCAAGAAGCTTCCGCTGACTTATAGAGTAGGTCGGGTACCTTGTTATATAGTCTTTTATCAGTCATACTTCTCCTTTACAGCCCTCAATACAACTATAATTAAATAACTAATAACGCAATTCACTGTTTAAAGCTTGGATTCTCTCACAGAATGTTGTGCCTTAAGGGCAAGTACCTTGTCTCTTTATTTCACTGTTTTATGCTTAGTATGATACTTTGCACACAGCAAGGACTCAAAAATGTACCTTTACCAGGAAGAATTGTTCACCTATACAGCTCACATTAAATAAAAAAAGAAAAAAAGAAGGAAGGAAGGAGGGAGGGGAAGGAGGAAGGGAACCTGCTCATCCATTCAGAAATGTATCAAGTGTTTATTTATATGACAGTTACCGTCTGAGCGCTGCTCATGAAGGCAGGTGGTTAGATATTTTTCCCTAACTTTTAACTAATTTATCTTTAGCCCAACCAAAAGCCAAACCCACTGTTGCTGGGTCAATTCCAACTTATGGTGACCCATATATAACAGAGTAGAACTACTTCATCAGATCTTCATGGCTGTAATCTTTATGGAAGCAGATCATCAGGCCTTTCTTCCGTAGCATCACTGGGTGGGTTCAAACCACCAACCTATAGGTTAGTAGCCTAGTGCAAACTGCTTGTACCACCCAGGGGCTTTATTTCTAACAATATAAAAATATTTGTCTGGGATTATATTTTCATGAGTACCACCAAAAAGTAAAACAAAACTAAAACCTAATACCATACCAATAAAATGAGTAAATTAATGAAATGTTTAGATAAGGACTTTCTGGTATTAAAACTTGGTAATTAGAAAGTTCTAATTAGGATTTACCTACAGTTAATTTAATTTAATATATAAAATACTACATGACTGCTTTACTTGTGTTTTGGGATAGTTTTTACAGTTGGTAATCTTTTCTATCCTGAGATTGAAGCCCCAAACATCAATATCTCATGACATCAAAAATACAGATACACATTTTAAGCAACCCTTTATATTAGCTGATTAGCAAAGTTTTACTTTTAACTAAGCTCCCACCTTGTCTAAAGTATTTTCAGTAAGTGAAAAGAACATACTTGCCCACAGTTATGTGAAAATTTCCTGCTACTTTATTGACATATAGATGACCTCGAATTCTGCATGCATCTGGAGGCTGTGATGAATCATCTTCCCTGTTACAACAAGACATTAAGATTACCTAAGGCATATTCAATACAGTCACCATTTTATGGTGGGCACATTTCATAGAGAGAAAAATCCCTAAAGATTACTTTTTAGACAATGTTGCAAATTTTAAAAAGAGAATAGCAGTCTTCTAAAGTTTAAAAAATGATACATCTACAAAATGGAAAAATTACATAATTATTACATAACTATTATATTTATATAAATCTAAAATTTCATGGTTCTCCAAATCTAACTAGTAGATTAAACCCAATGATAGAAGAAAAAGTTAAAAGAATTAGTCCAACTAAGACATATTTTCTTCATCTGTTTCTAGCACTTTATACAGTAGGGAGGAGGGGAGAATGGGAATAAAAACGAGATGCCATCTAAATTCAAAGACACAATGACATTTTTTCTCTTAAGCAAATGTAAAAACTCCTTATATATTCTTAAATTTAAATTTAAATGGTTTTCATGATTTCATTTCATGATCCTGGCGTTTCCAAATATCACTATACTAATCTATAAAAGAGAAAAAAAATGCAATTAAAAAAACAAAATTCCTAGTCAAAACTTATACATACTTACAACAGTAAATGCCACTAATATGTTCTTTAAACCTAATACAATTTTATATGGAGAATATTTACACAATAACAAAAGTAAAAAACAAAGTAACAAAGCAAAATGGTTCACTATGCACATAAAAGAGAAAATTAATTAATGAAAATGAAATAACATATTTGTGATAATCTGGATCAATATCAGGCTATAAATTTAAAATGTATCTTCACAGTGCAGAATAATTCTATTTTCTCTTTCAAAGAAAAATAAGATTCAGGGAACTAAACTAATATTAAAGCTATGTCAAAATAAACTCATTTTAATACACAGCTGAACATTTAAAAAATACATCTCACCTTGGTGGAAGTGCTGTTGATGCACTTTTAAAAGCACTTTTAAATATCACATCTTGAAGTGAATGTTCTTCTTGCAGCCTACTCTGTATAAGCTGCAGCATCCTAAATACAACACAAACAAACAATAATTGATAAAGTACAGTAAGGTATACAAAGAAAGTGAACACTTATTTAAAAATAACAATGGTTAGCAGATTTAGCTAAGTCATACACTCACTATCAGAGAGAGAGGGATTACCCATCTTTCTAAAGAAAGTACCAAGTTTTCTTCCAGCACTTCCTTGAAAGAAGGGAAAGTGAGGTGAGGCAGCTACAAGTCTGACAGCTGGGCTCCAGGAGCATGTCTGATTTCATCAATAACAGACATGCAGTCAGGGTCACGAACGAGGCACATCTGCTCACCTGAGCATCTAAATTCATCATTCATGCATGCAGCATTTACAAAATTCTTACTTTTTGTCAGGCATTCAATTAAGTGTTACAGATACAAAGAAAAAGACAAATAAGGGGCCACACAATAGATTTTATGGATTTGAAGCAAAAGATTACTGGGGTATACATCTATACCACAAGCATCTATTCTCATTATAGATCAGCTCACAGTGCCATGCAATATCACCTGGCTTCCCCTTATCCAGAAAAGCTGAACCTCATTCAATGACAAGGTCATTTCAAACAAAATATTATACTCTCCTATAATTTTTAAAAATAATATCAACATATAAATCATCAAATCACAGAGAAGTATACTTTCAAGAACTAACGGTAGACTTTTCTTTTTAAATATACCTAATACACAAAGAACAAGTTGAAGATTTTTAAATTTTTATGTTCATAATAACTTACAAAATTATTTATTCCAGAACAACAAAAGCAATAATAAAACTTGTTCCTCTCTCTAATACTTCTACCACTGAGACATGTTGCCTCCCACCATTTTTCAGAAATTACTTTGCATCTTTTGTTACTGTCTTATATTACCTCCTTTAATTCTCTATCTTTAAATAACCAAGTCATCTGTAGTAAATTTCTAACTTAGCAAGTTAAAAATTATACAGAAACACTTAAAAAATAAAAACACAACCATTGGTCTCTAATTGTCTGAAGCAAAACAGAATGAAGGAAACCAAAGACTCAAAGAAGAAACTAGCCCACAGAGCTAAGAGCCCACAGGAAGCACAGCTCTTCTAACTTGAGACCAGAACTAGATGGGGCCTGGCTAACACTACCAACCGTTCTGACCAGGGACACAACAGAAGGTCCTGGATAGAATGGGAGAAAAATGTAGAACAAAACTCAAATTTCTAAAAAAAGGCCAGATCTACTGGAACAATAGAGACTAGAGGAACCCCAAGACTATCACCCTAAGATACCTTTTGAACTTGGCACTGAAGCCACCCCTGGAGGTCACCTTTCAGCCAAGTAATAGATTGGCTTATAAAATAAACAGTTATCACCTGTGATTAATATGGCTCTTAAACAATCAACTATGAGACCAAGTGGTCAACATTTACCCAAAAGCAAAGATGAGAAGGCAAGGAGGGGCAGGGAAGCTTGATCAATGGAAACAGAACAAACAGAACGGAAATAATGAGAATGCTGGCACATTGTGAAAATTGTAACCAATGTCACCGGGCCATTAGTATAAAATTTGTTAAACGGGAATCTAATTCACCATGTAAACTTTCACCTAAAACACAGTATTAAAAAAAAATAATTTTCAAAACACAAAAATAAATAAAAGCAAATGTAAATCTGATAATACTTCATATCCCATCACAACAATAAACATTTTCTAGAAATGCAAGTGAGAGAGAAAATACTTATGCACCATCCACTCAGAACACTGGTAAAATAGGCTTATTCAAAATAAGTCATTTTTACACTATATTTAACTCGAAACAAACATTAAATTTAGAAATAAAAAAGCAGAAACTAGACAGGTTAGATCTACGCAGAGTGTCATAGTCATCTGGTGCTCCTGTAACAGAAATATCACAAGTAGATGGCTTCAACAAAGAGAAATCTATTCTTTCACAGTCTAGGAGGCTAGAAAGTCTGAATTCAGGGTGCCAGCTCCAGGGGAAGGCTTTCTCTCTCTGTCAGCTTTGGGGGAAGGTGCTTGTCATCAATCTTCCCCCAGTTGAGGGGTTTCTCAGCACAGGGCCCTGGGTCCAAAGGACGCACTATTCTCCTGGTTCTTGTTTCTTGGTGGTATGAGGTCCCCGTTTCTCTCCTCGCTTCTTTCTTTTATATCATCTCAAAAGAGACTGACTTCAGACATAACCTAATTTTGTAGATTGAGTCCTGCCTCATTAACATAACTGCCTCTAATCCTGCCTCATTAACATCATAGAGGTTACAACACATAGAAAAATCACCTTAGATGACACAATGGTGGACAATCACACAATACTGGGAATCATGGCCTAGCCAAGTTGACACACAGTTTTGGGGGACACAACTCAATCCATAACACAGGGGATGAAATGTACAACTATAGAAAGAGAGTGATTATTGAGATCCTCAATATTTTAAGAAAGCACGCTACCAATTGAGAGTAAATTTAAATCTCTTTTAGCAAATTCTAAAGGTAAAGAACATTTTGGTATGCACATTATTCAGGAGATGTCAGACTATCTTTGGGCCATGCAAGACCTATTCCAAAATATTTGTTAAGATGCAGAACATGATAATGTGGGAAGCTTCCAAGCCAGATGACATCTTCAGATCTATACATCTAAAGACTTAAAATCTTTGGATCCAATGCCAGCAGAAATTAAAAGCTTCACAATCATGCATGTCTTATATTCTGGAGTTACTTTTGGTGCTGGT